ACGCCACATGTACACCATGTACAATAGAAAGCCTAAATGTTGGTAACAAAATACATTATCAATGTTGAGTAGGGGTGCGTGTCTGGTGATTTCATGCTAGTCATCACTCCAGGCATCTTTTTGAGTTTATTTGTCATCATGAAAGCTGGGGGAACCTTTTTTAATTTAATAATTTCTATTTAAAGTCTTGTAAAAGTCAAAAGTTGTCAACAAATCACAACATCTGTCTAATATGTGAACGTGAAGCATCACCTGCCTGAGCCATGACGAAAGATAAGTGTAACGCCATCATGTCGAATATTCTAATTAAGTAATAACTCCATAGGAAATTTGAAGATCTTCCAGAAGAAACAATACACCTCTGTCAAAAAGCCTAGTGTATGTCATTGTAAATGGACAGACATGTTTGGAGAAAGGTGCTTGTGTTTGGTTGAGATTATCATTTATCTACATCTACATGGAGTAATCTGGTGTTCCCCAGGCCCAGGCACAACCAGAATAATATAACATCATTAGCTTTAGGAACATAGTACTCATCAGCTTTGGTCTCTATTTACATAATGACTGCTTTTCTGCAGCTTTTGCCGACAGAATTGCAAATGCAGAAATACAGATACAAATGAGGTGTAATTCTTTAGAGGAATAGCCAAACCGTTAGAGAGGGGAGAGTTTGCCCACGCCACAGTGAAGTTTTCCATTCTGGTTCCCTTCCAGACAACAGTGCCATTACCACACACAGTGAGTTGCAGCAAAATGAGATCTGAAAAGAGGAAGTATGAATCAGGATAAAATTGAAAATTGAGCTGATTCTGGTTAATAACAAAACCAGATTCATGGCTTTACCACTGCATAAAAACGGGTTTGTGGACTCTATTCAAAAGCTTGTCAGAACAGGATCTGGATGAACTGCCCTGAGATCCTTCATCAGGAGCTGTCAAGAGCTGGCGCAGCACTTTTACAGGTGGTCTACAGAAAAATAGTGAGGAGGAACGTGCGTCAGAGCTGAGGTGGCTGCACACAACAAATGAAAGGGCGCACAAGGCAAATAGCAAAATCCCAACGTATCGGATGGTCAAAGGAGAACTGCCAATAATAATTGATGAATAGTTGCTAGTGTTGAAGGAAGAACAAGCAGACATTTTTGGTCAAACAGCGAAAAGCAAAACATCTAAAACTGTGACAAAATAAATCTGATTATAAAAGATGAAAGAATAAGGTCGAACAATCATTGCATAACACTATTCTAATTATCTTATTTCATACCCACATTAAAACAAAAAACACTACACTTCAACCCTTCAACCCAGATAAAAAGTAATGTTCTGGGCCTTTAAAATATAAATAGATGTTAAACCCTTTAAGGCCAAATATAATTCATCAAACAGTGTCTGGGCTGAGAATAGGACATTAGGTTCATCTTTTTCTTGTAACTGCAGTGGGATTATGAGATCCATTCAGAAGTTGGTGTATGTTACTGCACAGAAACACGTGGAAATGAAATGTTTGAGATTTATCTTCATTGGATTAAAATGTTAACAGCTGTAATGGGTCATTGTTGGTTAGAAACAGCTTCACCAACACTGGCCTGCAGTGAGGCCAGTATGTGACTACAGCGCTAGCATTAAGTTAAACTTGTTGTAGGGGTGCACAAGCTTGACACAAAGAAAAAGAAAAGAAAATGTCATTGGCGTTAGTTACCTGTTCTCCAGAGAGTTAATAGGCTTAAGTTGACCCATGTTAGCTGCAACTGTTCACGAACACGGAAGGTCACGGAAGGTCACGTTCAATACCAACTGTGCTTTCGTCGCTATCATCCATAAATTCGTTTTTTTATTCTTTTTACTTTTTCTAAGGGTTGTGTTGCATTGGATATCTTTATCATAAATTAAAATTGTGTGAAATTAGGATGACTAATTCACGCATCCATATTATTATCTGAGAAGACGTGCCTCATTCAAAGCTCCTTCTTCGGAAAGGTTTGAAAAAGTATGTTGTCTGGATGGACAGGAAAGAAGAAATAAGGACTCCAATAAAAACTGGGACAAATCATAGGTTTAGGATACTCCTCTGATCTAAGAAAAGGACTGCCCCAGGTAAAGATGTTTTTTCTTCTTTGTGACATAATAAGTCATAATATGATTCAGCTGGTTGGATTCCTTCAGTATGTATTCTTTCCTTAGGCATACTGCAATGGTACAACTAAACTACAACAATACTAAACTATAAAATTAAAATAAACTATTGAAGAATACTGTACAATGCTCCCTTTTGCTTTGTGATAGCCATGTATTTGTTTCAGGCAATATATTGAAATCACATCCACTGCACTAAAACACAGTCATAATTCAAATAAAAAATACAAGGTAAGGTAAGCACCAATATGTATTAGATGCTTACAAATACACATAAGACACTCTTGGTTTAGAGCTAAGTAAGACACAACATTGTGTTTTCTTCTGTCTTGAAGAAGTCAACCAATACAAGGACATCTACACATATGACATGAGCTGCATAAACAATAAGTCCATGCAGCATGAATAAAACATTACTATTGTAAGTGACAGGAAACCACCAGAAATTCTCAGTGATACCGCTGCCTCTAAACCCGCTGTCATGACTGAGGTACATTAGGCTCCACTAGGCCTTATTATAATGCATTTGGTCAGAATACAGATTCAGGTGGAAAGAGCAAATAGCTACTTCAAAAGGGTGTTTAATACGTACAGTATAATGTATTGGTTAATCTGGTTGACTATGCCCATCTTCTTGTTGCCACCTCTGTGAACAAGTTTACTTCCCAGTTTCTTCTATTTACTGAAAGCTTCTACCCTCTTGTTCATCTTTTCAAGCTACAATTGTCCTCCTGTTTTCTCTAGACCAGAAATACATTATTTAGGGAACACATTACTGGTGTTGATGAACCTGAAATTATTCATGAAATTTAGTATAAAAGAAAGAGGTTGAATTTGCCTGTTAGGTATATAACTCCAGCTACCCAAAGTGCTTCACAGGCACGAAAGATAAAACATACAGGAAAACAGCATTAAATACATTACATACACATACATTTTAAAAATAAAATGGTAAAATTCAATTGGTGTTAAAAGCCACTAGAAATGTAATAACACAGGGATTGAATTTCACATAGCGTCGGATAATGTTTATACCTTATTCAAACTGGGATATTCTGATTACGGTCAGTGCAGCACAAATACCAGATGTAAAGACGTCGATGCCAATTATTTCTCAGCCTGAATAACCTTTTTCTTTAATTATTCTGGTTGTGTTCACAGAAATTGGAAAGGCAGAGTGTGAATGATTGTGACTGATGTCTTCACTGATCCAATCCAGAACACCATAACGCTGTTCATTTTGGTAGAAGATTTTAACTTCTTAAAAATAAATTTAAAAAGACAGCTACCGATGTTTACATTTGTATGCAAGTAGAAATGTAAAAAATGAACAAGCACTGTGATGGCACATGAGTCAGAAACTATAGGGGGTATAAGGGTGGATAAAATGTGAATGTTATAACTGTGACCAAAATTACTAGAGTTTGACGGTGTATGCACATTATCAAAGATATGTAAAATAAAAATATTTAACAATGAATGGCTCTTTGTCCAGCCCTCCCCAACAGTGTAAGAAGTGTAAAATGGGTGATATAATTTACCCATATACTACACGAAATAGATCTACAGAAAGTTGCATGCCTCAGATTGTTCCACCAGGTTATTGACATTATTCATAGTTGGTACACCCAAGATAGTCTATGGATGGCTTATTCCACTAACCAAATGAAATACAGGAAAGATGCTGTGTTCATACCATCAGAAGCCTATTTTTCTACAGTTGTGGCTTGGTTTTACATTTTCATTGAATACTGTATGGGCTGGGCGATATGGATTAACGGGATGGATATGGACCGGGATGGCAGAAATGTGCAATCTAAATTTTTCCAGTACTAGTAGAATTTCTTGAAATGGCAGTGTAATGTTCTCCTTTGTGAGATCAATAAAAGTTTATCTTAAACTTTCCAAGAATGAATTTCAAGATTGAGTGACTTCCCCTTGAAAAAATTGTGACTTTACAACTTAGGGACTTGATTCTCATGACCATCGCGATTCAATTCTTAATCCTACATCAGATTCATGTAAAAGGTACACACTCAATGCAAGCACAAATCTGTCAACTGATTCGATTAAACTAGTTTGGAGGAAGACTTGCAAACAAACCTTACAAATTCAGCAAATACCTTATCTTAAACTTCAATCTTATTGGCTATAGTCACAGTTCACTCAACCAAACTTGTATTTAACCTTTCTCCTTATAAAGCCAAGGAGGCATTTTTGGGGGATTTGGATGCAACCAGTTTCTGCCTCTACAACACACAATACTTTGTAGTGCAAGACTGCCATCTTCTGGGTACAGGCAATTCTGCACTGAGCTCTTAAAATATCTCGATATACTGCAATTACAGATTAAATTCAGTTTTATGTAATCCTTGGATCAAATATTGAATTGAAGCTCCCGTTTTGTTACCCGCAATTGAAATGAAGTGTGGTTATCCATCAATGCATACGGCCAATGTAAACTATTTTGTAACATGGAGAGTACAACTTTAATCACATCATAACAGTAGCTTGAGGAATACAACTTTTCAGCAAAACCTAGTTTCGTTTTTCAGGTTTTGAAAACAAATATACAAATTACTACTCTTCCTTTTACATTACAGTTAAACTGACACAGTTGTCAATGTCGGTATTTCTATAGCACAGAGGCTATGACACAGTCATACACATGTATAAATGAATGGAAAAGCAATCCAAAGGGCGGCTTTTCATTTCTTTCCTGCTGAAAAGTTCGAGCATTGTACTTCAAGCTCAAGTTCAGTAAATATGTCCCATTTTATTTAAAACATCCTTATTTCTTCTTTGTTAAATAAATCAGAATGTAGAACAGAGCATGAAGGCCTTGAAGAGTCGAGGTTTGACACTGCTTTACTCTAGCACCACAGTGCCACCTGCTGCCTCCAGGGCAGCTTTCAGTTTCTCTGCCTCCTCTTTGGATACATTGGCTCGGATTTCCTGAGGAAGGGCCTCCACTAGTTTTTTAGCCTGAAATAAAACATTAGAAAGGCAAGTCAATTTAGAATCAGCTAGGTGCTAGCTAAATATACCACATATATAGACTGGTTTGAATTGAAACATACCTGCACTAGATTTAATCCTTGAATACAGTTCTTGACCTCTTTTATAAGCTTCACTTTTTCAGCTGCTTTGAGCTCTGTCAGTTTTACTGTGAAGTGAGTCTTCTCTTTCTTGGCTGGTGCATCATCCTCTTCTGCAGCCTATTGAACAAGTAAAACCACTGTGTTAGTAAGTCTCTACATATTATGTTTTTAACACTCTAGTTGTTGTCCTCACCTGAGCTGCAGGTACTGCTGCTCCAGCCATTGCACCCATCGGCATCATTCCAACATCTTGAATGTTTAATTTTTTCTATAAAAATATATTTATGAGGCAAATGCTCCCTGTAAAACTGCTGAGATGTGTTAAGACATTCCCATACCTTGAGAAGATCGTTGAGGTCTGAGACCTCCAACAAAGTGAGACTTGCGATGTCGTTGACAAGCTGTTGAATTTTTGGAGAGTATTGTTTGGGTGCGCCGTCTAGAGGAGCGGTGGCTATGGCTTCTACATGATTAATTGAACTAGTCCTCAGTAGTCTATACGCCAAAAGGGTAGAAGGCTGCAGATGGTTATCCTGTCTGAAAAAACAACAACAACATTAACAATATAAGCCAATATGAGTCAATCATGTTTCAATCAAGTTCTGATTGTTTTGTTAGCTTCTGGCACACGCCACGGTTCCTTGGCCACAAAGGTCGCGTGTAATGATGACAATATGAAATAACTATAGCAGGTATAGCTATGTGACATAGTACATACAAAGATTTTAAAACATGAATGGAAATATTTTCTGTTGGGTACCATGGTCTGGGTTATTACACCGTGAAGAATGTAAGTATCATAGTTGTAAAGATCTTATCTACAGCCATGTGAGGTTTCCTACTAAATATACTAGAGAACACAAGCAGGGTCAATAAGCTGAAGAGCAGCGTAAATGCAGAGGGATGTATCGCTGTCTTTCTGCCCTTGACTGTTGCAGATACGGTCTTATGCAGTGGTTACGTATGACGTTACGTACCTGTGCGTGCGTGCTATCGCCCGAAGCGCAGTCCGAAGGCATCGCGTGGTGCAGAACATGATTATAAATGTTTTAATTCTCCCCTATGAAGCAGATGTAAGTTTATTAAGAGAACAGTTCCTACTGCCTCAAAAGCACATGGCGTCTCCACAACTACTGACCTACCCAGGATGCATTGCGTGAACTGTTGTATCTACGGTGGCTCTATTGGGTGACTCGCACCTACACGGTTTTGTTTGTAAAGTCTATGGTTTGTAAGTAATGAATACTATTGAAGTCAGTACCGTTTACTTGTCGATAACAAAGTACACCAATGCATATTTCCCATCTATCTGCATGTTTAATTTAACGTATGGCACACAATCTGAAATGTGTAATTACCGTAATATTCACTCAAATCAGCATGATCGTCGGATTAAAAGGAACCAAATACTCATGTGACGATTTTTGTTTATTAAATTATAACATGATTGTACCAAAAACTAGGGAGGAGCATGCAAAGAATCCTCTTAACTTAGTAATCTCTCAAACCATCTGCTCCAATCATCTACCAGAGTTTGTGTTCAGCTTAATATATACAGTCTATGGTTCAGCTGCGGTCGTGTGTAGTCGTCTGTGGTGAAATCATAGACTGTATATATTAATATGTTGGTGTCTCCTCAGGCGGAGAGGAACTGGCAGAGTTTGGCTACAGTGTTGGAGGATGTGCTTGAGGAACATGCTCACAGGAAACTTTTTGCTTTGGAGCTGGGGTCTGGCACTGGGCAACATGTCATACGCTTTGCCCAGAAAATGCCCAATGTGACCTGGCAGCCCTCAGACATTAAAGAAGAATCACAAAACAGGTGTGTATCTCATGAAGAGTTTCTGATAGACACATAATTAATGTATAAATTGTACTTGTAATCTTTTCATTTTAAGTATTAAGGCCTACATTGCTGCTACCAATGCAAAGACTGTTCTCCACCCACTGCACATTGATGCCAGTGATCCTTGGGAGAAATGGGGAAATCTTACTGCTAAATCTTGTGACGTTATTATGGCCATAAACCTACTGCAGTACAGCCCCTTTAAAACAGCACAGGTAAAGTATAATATGTTTTACTCGAGCGATTGTGAAAGCATGGTAACCAGTATTAGAAGTGTTATCATTAAATTCATTTAATTTCTAGGGTGTGCTCACCGGAGCAGCTCAGATTCTCAAGCAAAATGGTTTTCTGATAATATATGGTGTAAGTATGATTGTAATATATTTGGTAGATATCAAACTATTGTAGTCACCTTGATTTTCTCAAACAGGTCTATGCAATAAATGGAATAATTACTCCAAGCTGCAATGAGCATCTGGATGAAGAAATAAGAAACATGTACGCATAAATTAACAAGCTCTCTTTCTTTGTTATAGATTTTTTATAGTGTTTTTTTTTAATTTACAGAAACCCAGAATGGGGCCTTCCAGATATTGATGTGTTAAGACAAATAGCATATGGAAATGGATTACGACTGGAGAGAATAGTGAGTGTTTGTAAACGTTGATTACCATTTATACCTTTAAACCGTGAACTAACAATATCTTCATGTTAAGGTTGAGATGGAGGAATACTACAAATGTCTCATCTTCCGGAAACTTTAAAGAAGCTATTGATTTGAGTACGAATGTGTTTTCACCCATTTTGTGCAATAACTTGTTTTGTATTGTAATAGAGAAAGGAGCATGACAGTAAGAACCAATTTTATTAAACATTTTTGTTAAATTACTAAAACAAATGAGTGGGTTAAAAATCACAAATGGCAACTGAAATATTTGCTTCATACATGCGGCACGTGTTTGATTAACAGGCAAATCCACATGTCAACATGTACCTACCATTATCATGTTTGCCAAATGGCTGAAACTACCCATCTGTGAGAACAAAGGCAACTTGTGTCCTATGCTTTATTGTGGCATCAAGACTTACAAATGTAGAACAGACATGTATTGAAGCTTAATATCAAAATGTTCCAGATATTTACGACCAATATGATATCTTCAAGCAAATACATATTTGTGTGTCTGTCCAAAAATACCACAGAACTGCTCATCTAATTAGATTAATTTGCAATTTATTTTGACCATTGACTGCTTTCTCCTTGCAGACAATCATACAATATTGTTTACAGCCCATACAGACGCCTACATTTAAACTTTAAAATAGAGCAACACTACAATGATTAAAATCCATTTAAGAGATTTTACATGCAACTCTTGATTTATAAAAATATGAATGAAAAGAATGGTTATGTCTTAACACCTCCATTATTAGGATACTATCTTAAATTTAACACCACTGCCAATTTTAGAGCATAGTTTTTAATTTAATTAGGAAATATTACATACATGTACATATGATGAGCCAAGAAGTTATATATTGTCTTTACTCTCAGGGCCCTGCTGAACTAAAGGAAAGAGGGCAACCGCTTTTGCAACATCACAAAATTCACGTTGCCACAATATCACAGTGCAGTTGAAAGTGAAATGTCTGTGAGGGACACAAGAGTCCAGAAAGTAAAAGTTGAGAAGAATGTAGTGTATGAGAAGATGCACGCCTGATCTCAGTCAAAGGAAATTAGTTGAGCCTCTGCACTGCCTGGTACAGCCTGCGGGGGCTGCTGCTGAGCTGAGGGTTGCTGCTGTTGAGGGCCACCAGGAGGGGGAACCTAAAACAAAGATTTGCTTAGAATGTTTGCTAATTATCTTAACATAAACATGATAACTACTATATTGACCAACCTGCTGGTACATGGGCTGCTGGCCTGGCATGTACTGCTGGTGCGGTGGTAAGTTGGGGTCCTGACCTGGCAACGCTGAAAGCATGCCTTGCATGTTGTATGGCTGATAACTCATGTAAGCCATACCATTACTCGCAGCCGTTTGGGGCATCTGAGGCAAACTCTGGGCTTGAGAAGCTACGTTCTGTTGAACAAGGATATGTAGTTATTTTAACAATAGGAGTAGAATCTATTCACTGTCTTGATTGATAAAGAAAAAAACCTTTCTGAACTACAAAAATAATAAGAAGAACTCAAACCTGGTAACCCTGTGTAGGTGTGGGCTGGTAGTTGGAATATGGGGGACTGGTAGTGGGAGGGGCCTGACCAGGAGGAGGGGCAGGCTGTCCATTGGTGCCTGCACCTGGGTACATGTACGTGTTAACCATATTTGGATCTAAAAGATAAGTTTACATAAGTTAGTTTGGCTACACACAAATGAAAACAGAATATTTCATTAAGAACCCACCTGGTGCTGCACCAGGCATTGCCTGATATTGTGTTGGTGCAGTTTGCCCAGCTTGGTTCATATAAATGTTGTGCATAGGTGAACCCTCTACTGAGCCAGCAGGGCTAAAGGTGCCTGGATAACTAGGTGGAGCCCCAGGCTGGTACACCACCCCTCCAGCTACATTAGGAGGCAAAGACTGCATCTGCAAAATACAACATGTATTTTATATATCTTAATAGTAGGGCTGTCAAAATTATCGTGTTAACGCACGTGAATGAAAAAATGTCATTAAATGACGCATGTCCATGCATCCCATAATAACACTCAGAATGCTGCGGACACATGAGTGCGTAAGATGGTGACAGTGTAGGTAGGCCCTCTGGAGCTCCACGTGACCGTGGAGCTCTTTGCTGTCGTTTCCTGTATGAACTCTGCGAGCTGAGCTGCGGGCGCTCTGGACAGCACTCCCACCTCCAGCGGCTGTGATCACGGCGAACGGCGCCGCTGGAACGTCATATCCAAGACCACGTACAGAACTATTCTCTGCTTGTAATGTGAGTACGAGTCTTAGCGTAACTGGTGCACACAATATATAAAGCGCTGAAGCTGGACGACGGAGCCTCACTCACCTCCGTGTCTTCTCCTGAAGCGCACTCACTAAATTAAAGCTGGGGTACCTAATTTTCCCTTCCACTACTAGTTCATGTTGGTTGTGCCAAAAAAAGTTATGGTGTGAGCAAATCAAACAGATTTAATGACATTCTGCATTTCAGACTGTTTTGAAATGTCCCTCATCTGAAACAATAGTTTTGTTGTCACTACAGAAAGACAGAATGTTAATGCCATTTTATATGGATTTATTGTTATAATAAACAAATACAGTACATATGTACACTATGCTGTCATTTATCTTTCCATTCAAACAACCATTTATAGAAAAATATGGCATAATTTTGCCGATAGTTTGAAAAGCGATTAATTATGATTAATTAATTTTTAAGCTGTAATTAACTCGATTAAAAAATGTAATCGTTTGACAGCCATACTTAATAGTTGTTTGTGTTCATGAAGAGAGGCCGCTTTTTACCTGTGCATAGGGCAGAGAAAAAGCCGGCATCTGCGCCCTCATCTGGACGGTGTGCTTCTGCTGCTCGAGACGCATTTGCCTCTCCTTCTCTTGCTCCTGGAGGCGCTGGATGGCCAACTGTCTTTGCATTTCCAGATACTCCTGTAAATTCCATTAAACATCAGTCATAGTGTATCTAAAACAATGACGAGGCCCATTACATGTAAATTACCTGTTTTTTCTGCCTCATAATTTCTAGTTTTTGTGCGAGCTGGATCTGCCTCTGTCGTTCCGCTTCCTCTGCTGCACGTCGCAGCTTCTCCCTGTGTTCATCTCGCAGTGCGTTGAGAGCTGCCCGAGCATCCCGCACCTGGGCCAACTTGTCCTGCAGTCCTTCATAGTACACTGTCACACATGTCAACATTTTAATAAAGATTGTTGTGTAAAAGGACTACATTTAGAAGACAACAACTGACATCTTTTCTCATCCAGTTGGTTGAGAATATCCAGGAGCTGTGGGTGCATGTTGTTGATTGATTGAAAAAGTGACAACACAGCGCTGTCGTTGGTGATGCTGCGCCCTCTCATGTGGTTGCTTTTCATCCGGTTCAGGAAAGTTGTAACAGCATTCTGCAAAGCCTTCAGGAACTGCTCATGATTCTCTTCAGATTCGCCATTTTGGTATTGTTGCTGTAAGGGGGGAGATAATGAATACTACTTCTTCAAGTAAATAAGTCAATTTGGAGCATCAGAATACCTCGACAATGTTGACAGGCTGAACAGGGACATGACTTTCAACAGGTTGGCATATTGGTGGGAGGGTCTCTGCTATTGAGACAGGAGCAGGAGCTGAAGGTGTAGGACTCTTGCGGGCTTCCTCCTGTTTCTTTTCCCAGTATGTTCTATTTAGATAACGAGCCAGCTAGAGCAAGCAAATGGAAAGGGTTACAATTGTTCACACCTGTGAGTAATTTGAGTATAGTAAGTAAACATATCCAACTGTCTTGAGTAAATATTCTGTAACAGCTAGTGTGCCCTAAATAACAAGTTTATATGTTTGAGCTCAGTGAATTAGCTGAATGGCAAATTAGCCATGACCCATCTGTACTGAGAATAAGCAAACCTTGTCTTTGTGTCCTCAAAAGGGATTAGTAAACCAAATTTAAGTATGATTGATGTAAATGTTAAATATACCTCAGGGTCTACATCTTCAGCTGAGGGGGCAGAAGAGGTCTAAAATGAAGATTCAATAGTTAAATATGAGTAAAACAGGTTAATGCATTATTGTAGTTCAACATTGGGGATGGTTTTTTACCATGGGAGCAGTGTAGAGGGTGCTGACAGGCGGTGCTGAGGAAGTCACTGGAGTAGGATCAGCTTTGGGATACATCGAATAAGAGTTCTTATGTCTCTGCCAATAGAAACAACCAGCATTTAGACAAAGTAAAAACAGAATGAAGCAGTATGCCGCTGTGCCTGCGACTTCTAAACCCACCATTCTCTCCTTCTCCTCTGCCTCACTTTGGGACAGGGCAATAGCCAACTGCAGCTCCTCTTCTTCCTGCAGGGCCGCTTCATCCCTTTTGGGGGGCATCTGCTTTGAGTAACAAAAGACAACAAAATGATGGTCAACATTGCGTTTTCATTTTTTTAGAGGCTTTAATATTTATTTTTTTCTAATAAATGGGTGGTTTAATTAAGTTCAATCAACCAAAAGAGATTGGGACAAAATATACCGTATATTAGCATATTTCTTCTACATGACAGACCTGTGACTGCTGAGACAGTGGGCTGGTCAAATACTCCGGAGGCAGCTCAGCCGTGCTTGAAGATGGAGATTTTCCCTCAGTTTTTCTAAGTAGAGGAGAAAGGGAGGGGTGGCTGGTGAGGAAAAGGGATAAAAGGGGAGGACAACAAATCTTAAAATTCAGTAGAGAGCAAGACACAAAAGCTCTCCAAAAATATGGGGGAGCCGAAAAGCACAGTAATGTACATTTGATATGCTAAATAAGAATCAATGATCCACATTATTTTCTCAAGACTCACTTGTTGAGCAGTTCAAAGCAGGGCTCACAGACACGCACTTCTTTTTCAATGCCAAACTTTGGAATAGTGGAGTATTTGGAGGAACACTTGCCACAGAAAATCTGCCCACAAGCTCGGCAGTGATGCTGGATAGAAAAGTAAACATACCATTTCTGAAAATCTATTTAATGTCAAGTATTTGTGTCAAGTGCAGGTCAAGAAAGTGACCCAGTTCAAAGAAAAACCTGCTTACCTTTCTTGTCATAACACCAAATTGAACTCTGCACCGGTGACACTCCTCAGCATCTACCCAATCTGGAGCCTTAAAGAGGAGAATATACATGTTTAATAAGACCAAACATCATGGTATACATTTTATTTTCACTTACTCTTTCAGCTGCAAACATTGCATCACTCTCTTTAAACTCAGGAAAAACATTGCCTATAGAACAAAATATATAAGTTTAGTATTAGTGTTGAAAAGCGCTCTATCAAACAGATTTATCATAATTGTCAAAATTATTACTAAAAGACAACATAATAATACTGTTTACCTTCAACCTTCATGATCTGATAAGTATCCTGAACCACCTTGTATTTCGGTTCATTACGAAAAGCCTGAGCCCAGGCCTGAATTAAGTACAGAATCTTGTTCCTTACATTTGGTTCAGTCTGCTTCTGTGAAAAATGTCAATATGTTTTATGAAAATATTCCTGGTATCAAACACTGGGATACATGTAAATAAAAGGGAAGCTTCATGAAACACAGTACAGTCAAATAGATCACAAAGTAATGACATCACAAGGAAGTAAACACTCGCACAGGCTGGAGTGTCACATGGCCTGGCTTTAGCCAACCAGAGAATGCTTGGTTATGGGGTAATGCAGTCAAATTCCTGACAGTTGTGCAAAAACTGAAGAAACTAAGTAAGTAAGTAAGTAAAGTTTATTTGTATAGCGCATTTCACAGACCAGGGTCACAAAGCGCTTCACACATTAAAATACATAAAATACACATACAAAACTATAGATTTTAAGTTTACTTTATCAGTTAAAAAAAATAATTGACTATAAAAAACAAGAAAAAATATGAAGGGTGAGATAGATTTAAATGGTTTCAAACATATCAGACATGGCCTTGCCTTTAAGAGTTCCTTGAGTTCTTCCATAGTCTGCTTACAAGCCACTTCATCATGGATTGTAGAGCCACAGTTTTTCACAACCGACTCCAAGACCTAAAATGACAAATTCCCTCAAATACTGGATAAGGCCAGTTTCAAATACATAAAATACAAAATTATCTCAACATCAAAAACTTACCTCTAGTGCATACAGAGCAACGTGTGGATTTTTGTCATTCAATTTCTTCTTTATTGCACCAATGGCATATTTAGCTCTGGAGGAACATTTCGTTTTATATATATGGCAATTTTTATTGCCATATATACATTTTCTTTTGTTGTTATAGCATACTCACTGCGTGTCTCCTTGTCGAATGAGGTCACAGATCTGCAGGATGGACTCCCAGTCTGTTTCTAGCAACAGCTGACTGGTAGCTTTGTCTGCACATATTATTAACAACAGATATCAGGAAGTAGTGCTACTGATACTATACTATCATAGTAATAGTACAGTATAGTATTGAACTAGCAATATGCATACAACAAGTAAAAAGCACTGAGGTCAAATGCAGTAACCTTATTCTAGAATGTATCTTTTCAATTCAAAATGACTCTTTTCTATCTTACAATTAACACTTTGGAATGCTAAACAGAGGTATTGCATTAGTGAGCCACACATGATAAACTAAAACGCAAGGAAGATATGATTTGCTTTTATTCAACGCCTGAGAAATGTTTGCCACGTTATCAGATCCAGATTGTGAAGGTTGCAACATGATTAGCTAAGATAGTTAACAGCTAATACTAAAAATGAACAATGAAAAGTTTCAGTTAACTAAAATAAGCCATGTCATGTCTGGATGTCAAGCGAAAGAACAAAACACAAAGACAGCACCAAAAGGCTCATGACTGCTTAATCCACCCGAACATTGCCATTTGATTAGATTATAAAAAGATAATTTGTCACTTTGTAACGAATGTGTGTGTCGACATGCCTTTTATAACCGTGTTTATTATAAATCTAGTTAGCATATTAGCTGGTCCGAGAGCCACAGCCCTTGTCAAAACAATACACCGACAACATCATCGCAGTTGGGTATATTATCGAAATGTGATTGTGACACTTGTTTGAAAAACGTACCCAGAAGCCGCTCAAATGTACCTCCACCTTTGCCCATGTCTGAAGATTAGGTTTGTCGCAGTCGATGTGAGTTTAGGTCAAAGATTGTTCCAACGACGATGCTAGCCTGTTAGCAGCAGCTAGCCCTGTCTGATAGCCTCCACTTCCGCCTAGTGTTGCCAGGTGTCTGAGTAAGTATTCTTAACGGTGTTTATTATAGAGGCCATTACGGTATAAATAACACTGTTAACATCTGAACTGTGCAACAAAATGAGACAATATCAAACCTAATTATGTATAAATATCTGACCCTGTCAAACCAACTAAAGTTTCCACATCTGGCAGCCTATAATGACTTTTTTCTCTTTTCAACGCATTACTAATATTACCTGATTATCGTCAATCAATGGCAAACATACTTTCACAGAGCACACACATAAGGGCTGAATTATTCCTTGTTAAATGAATAAAATGTATACAAGTCAGTGTATTCCAACGTAAAAATTATAATAATAATGTAAATAGTTTAATTTATAGACTGCATTAAGAGCTGTAGAGTCCATTCAGGGAATCATATAACAATATAGGTCTAGTTTAGGTCTTTTTAGGTCATGTATGAGTCACTACCTAGCAGTATACTGGAACCAATTGTCAGTGCTGCTGTAATAGTCAATGCTATTGTGTTAAACACAGGCCTCAGTAGTGAACAAAGGGAAGAGCACTATACAACCGCTTACATTAGATAGTCTGTTCTCAGTGTGTGTCATTTACAGATATAAAAACATGTATAAAATAAATATATGCAAACGGTTTATTGTTTGCAACAGGTCATTTACAAGAGGAATTATGTAGTTTTGGCAGTATATACATTCAAATATTGTTTTTTTTTGGTACTAATTATGAAACACACTATCATGACATGATGTTTATCTCATTCTACCCTCAAACAACCATAACTACAGGAATGAAAACATTTAAAGGAGATAGAAGGATGGACATGTTTATTTTACATTGACAAGTACTGTGTTAAATTACATGGGTATGCAAAATGGAAATAGATCTGTTTTGTGAAGCAGCACAATGCAGCTTTTGAACAAAAAAGAAAAAACATTATATAAAATAACAAGGAGCATAATTGATAAATGGAAATACAGATTTGACATTGACAATGTTTAGCGTGTCTCTTTGCAAAGCTCAGACATAACCTTTAACCTGTGAGGCAGGTGCTCTGCGGGGACTGCTGTCTCCGCTGCTGAAGGTGGGCGAGCCGGGGAGGCCTGGGGGGCTGGATCCAGTGTAAAGCAGGGAGCCCCCAATGAGGAGCAGGGCTGATGCTCCCCAGCCAATGTACAGCCCAGGACCAAGCTCACGCTTATGTGGAGCTGCCACATGTGGGTCATAGAAATCTCTGATGATGGAGTGAGCAGTCCAGCACACAGGTACAAGATACAGAAACCCTGCAATAGCAAAGAGTGCACCTGCAATACGAGCAATACGTGCTTTCACACTGTTAATGCCAACGCACTTAGTGCACTTAACACCGAGGACCCCCATGGCCAGAGCTAGACCACACATCAAGAGGGAGAGGACAGTTAGCCCTCGGGCCGCCTGCATGTCACTCGGCAGTGCTAACATACTGTCATACACTTTACACTGGATCTGTCCTGTGCTTTGCACTATACAATTCATCCACAGACCTTCCCAGATAATCTGAGCCGTCACTATGTTATTTCCAATGAAGGCAGTGACTCTCCAGAGAGGGATAGCACACACTACTAACCCTCCCACCCAGCCCACAATGGACAGGACCAGACCCAGCAGCTGCATGCCTGTAGTTGCCATGGCAAAGGTCTCGTCAAAACCAGAAGGATTTGTCTTGTTTTAAATGTGTCTTTTTAGTTCCACAAGGAGATGAGTTTGTAAAACTGATGATATCGCCGTTTTGGAGTTATGAAGATGGTGCTTCTCGCTTGAGTGTGTCCAGGACAAGTATCCTGTAATTAGAAGAAACACAAAATGTCACATTTGCAACTTTAGACCATTAAAGGAACATGCTATAATTAATGATAAACGTTTCAGACTATAGACTATGTTTGGTGGATTCCAGTATGAAAGACAGAGAATAGACCTCTTTCACACATCTGTGGGTGTGTGGATTATCTCAGAAAAACATGAGGAGATTGAACACAAGCAGCTTTCATGAAGGCCTGTCGAGTGGGCAAGGAGGACCAGTGTCCTCATCACTTCTAATATCTTCTTGGGTATCATTTAATCTTTGAACTATGCCGTGATTTGTGGTAGGAGATGACAAAAAGTCTATATGCATCAAACAATCTTGTATATGAGCACACTTAAAATAAAGACAAAAAAAGGATCATTACAGCTACTGCATAATTTAAATTGTAAAAAAGAATTGTAAATTTCCCATTGATGTAATTTAGTAGCAAAACCTGATAGCTTACCTTGGAGGAGTTCCTTTGAATTTCCCTCGTCAATGTTGTCCCGAGACTGCCACTATAGCGTCTTATTTTGTCCAAGTCCGCTTTGGCGTTGAACAATATTAAGTATAGGACGGCCCTGAGAATTAAGTTCACTCCTGAGGAGAATTTGTCAAGAGAAGTTTGCTTCAGGACTGGACTGGATATGGGACCGGACTGGAGATGGGCCCGTCCTGCGAAATGCCACTGAGAGTCTGTGTGGTGGTGGTGGGCAGAAGCATGCGCTCGGTGCCAGTGTGTGAATACGTGAATGTGTCCGAGTGTGTCTCCCAGTGCCTGGTGTTTAAATACAATGGACTGCTGTTTGGTATCGCCCCCCACCATGCTCCTCGTCAACCTCTGTCCCAACCAACAACATCCATCCAACTCACAACAGATTTACTTTTTTCTCCACTTGGTTTCACTTGTTCAATTATGAGAGCCTTCTCTTTTCTTTTACCCTCTTCTTTCTTTATGGGTTTCATTGAAGTCTTCAAGTGTAGTCCTTTGTGTGCACAACAGCAGCTCTTGAGGTCTTGTGTTTGAGTTATTGAGTTCATGGTTTTTATATTTCAAGTTCATAATGATAATTAACGCCACCAGTTTTGTAATTCCTTATTCTCTTACACTTTATATACTGCAAAAACTAGAAGACAGGATCAGGGGAGCGTCATTTTTTCCTCCATGTAGGCGCCCTGGACTGAAAAACGGATGTAATCGGTCTGTGAAATCTTCGTGGAAGGTGTAAATGTGAGCTCCAGAGTCGCCGCAGTAGAAGGACACCCGACCCTCCGAGTAGTCCAGAAACACCCCCACCTTTTTGGGCCTGTGATCCACAGCAAGCTGAGTGACTGGAGAGCTGTTGGCGAGATACTGACCCGTGGGTTTAAGACTCAAAGTGAAGAAACCGTTTGCAGGGCAGACTGTAAATTTGCCCTTTCGATTTATGGATTGGTTCACAACTCCAATGCTCCACTCGATCTTCTCCCCGACCTCTACTTCCCAGTAATATCTCCCACTGATGAAGCTCTCTTTGGCCAGTATGTTGGCCACACGGTCGAACCTTTTGGGGTTTTCTGACACCTCCTGAAGCTTGTCTGTGTGCCTGACCTGCTTCCTGTCCTCAGACACACAAAGTGATGGATGCGCTGTTTTGGCACTAAGATTGATGTCCACTACAAGACAAGAGGTAGTTAGAAAATTTTCTAATTCTGGTAATGATTTACAATTGTAGACATGTACCTGTATATTTCTCAATTCTTTTTTGCTCTGTTAACAAAGAAATGTAAACGTGAATGGGTTGTTTTTGACACATGCTTGTCAGTGTGATATTACATACCAGATTTAGACAGTCTATTGACTTCTGTCTTTATTTTTTCCACCATTTCGGACAATGCTCGTCTAGTCACCCCAATACAGGGATCGTGTTCCACAGTTAACCTGGTCCAGTCCTTCCTTTCTACTGGACAGGCTGGGGGAGGAACAGTCTGCAGAAAAAGAGCAAAAAAAAAGGTTTTGGTCAGCCTCAAAATGGCATAAACATATATAAATATCTACAATAAAAGGCAGGTCATATCACTTTGCCAACCTTCAGGTAAGCTCTATGGAGAGACAAGTTCACCCACAGAAAGAATGCATACTTTATTTTCCCAGGTGGAGAAAAGTAGAGTTATTAAAGCAATCCACAAAAATGTTTCAACTATGTAATAAGATCCATGTATTTTCTATCAAAACATTTCTAGCACTAGTGTTCATGGCCTCTGTCACATCGTTAGATCATCTTTTCCAAACAAAAAAGTGGAAACTGTTAACAACCCAAACATTCATCCAAACAGCTCTCAGCCCAAAGCGTCAAATAGTGACATACAGGGCTTTTTATTACAAGTATGCAAAAATGTTGTGGTCAGAATTTTTCACAAAATTAGGTACCCCAGCTTTAAGTTGGCAGTACTCACCACTTTGATTTGTTCTGTCACGTCGTTCGGCTCCTCACTCTCATTGGCAGACGTTGTTGGCTCAGCTTCAGCAGTGTCTTTGCTCAGCCTCTGAATCTCTTGTTCTAGTTCCTTTATGAGTTTGTCCACTCTCTTCTCCTCCTCCCGCTGCCTGTCTTCAATCGCTGTGACCACGGCTTTGTGGCTCTTCTCCATTGCACTGACCAGGGCAGAGAAGGTTTTCTGGCTCTCACGAACTTCTCTGAGGTATGAGTGCTGAATTGGGCAAGTAATAAAAATATAGTTAGTTAAAATAGTGGAAAAGTACTGTAATATTTTTAGGAATAAAGCTTATTTTTACACTCTCCAGACAGGCTTGAATAACAATGACTATCTATATATATGAATGTTTTATGTTTTGGAAATCCTGTTGTACAAACCTGTAGCACCTGTAGGCGTAGAATGACATACTATGCAAATTTGATGTGTTGTTTGTACCCACCTTTTGTTGTTCCAGAGAATTTTTTAATCTTTCGATCTTCTGCAGCCTTTCTTGAACCATTTGCTCAATGTCAAAGACCTGTAAGATTTTCACACCATATTTATAACACCCATAAAGTTATGTCATGGGCAATTTAACCCATAATTGCAAACATACCACAGTGTCTTCTGTGGGTTCTTTCACAGGTCTTGTCTTACTGTATTTTTCAGACACATCGGCTAAAACGTGATTAATGCTGAGATTGGGGCGCTCGGTGAACAGTCTTTTACATTGGGGACAGTATCGGGACGTATGTTTGGACCAGAAGTGACTCAGGCAGGACAAGCAGAAACTGTGCCCACATGGTATGGTCACAGGGTTGGTGAAGATTTTTCGGCACAAAGTACACAAGAAGTGCTTCTCAGAAAGAAGACTCACAGTGGAGGCCATTATCTGAAAGAAATGCACATTTGCACTTTGGTTACAATGCATAAAGTGACTAAGCATAGCACAAAAGGGCATGTTTTATATGCATAAGATGTTTGATATGTATTTTAAAGCATAGGTTCCATAAGTTAGTAGACTCAAATGGCTAAAATGAACTATACACACAACCCAATGTTGTTCTCAGTGGAATTTTTTAACTGCAAGTCATTATCATCAAGTTTATAAATATCTGTGCAATTAAAGGCCGCTGGTGTTACTTTTACACCAAGAACAAAATGGCTTCAATTTTAGTTTTTTAAATGAACATAGAAGAAATTAATATTCATTAAACAATTATTACCCATGTACCTATGCATTCAATGCCTACACGTGACAAGCACTATCCATTGTCAATCAAACAAGGTATGACTCACATTCCACCTGTTATTACATAATGCTTCACAAAGGGCCACATATAACTCCCACATGATGGGCAACTCTGATTTATCTTTTTTCCAGCAGACTATAAAAGGATGTTCATAACATGTATTATATGAATAAATACTGAAGTATTAACGACAATACCAGGATACATTGATGTAACTCTGAACAGAAGTGAAAGAATGTGGTGAAAATATGTGGTCGGACTGGTAGAAGGTAATTGTTTGGTGTGTTACAGTGAAGGAGGCAGTAGTCAACATTAACTTCATCAAGGTTAACAATGTATAATTGGCAAAGGGGCATACGTTATAGTTCATTTGTTGTAACATAAAAAATCAATAATAATAACTATCAAATAAAATATTCGAACAAAAATAATGATAAAGCTGGTAAAAAATGTTCTTACCACAATTGTTTTACTTCTTCACAGATCGTTCGTCTTGGCTTCTTTCTACGTCCACATAGAGCACAGGTGTATTAGTTGACAGGTAACAGGCACACTGAGTTTGTGTTGTGTAGTAAAAAGGGCAGTGCTTTTGACAATGGCATCTTCAAGATCAGACTCCACCTCTTTTGTGTTATCTGAGCCACAGGTTAACCAGCCATGAGCAAAACTCCAGGAAATAGTTAAGAGGCCAAAATTTCATGTATGTGAAAAATAGTGATAGAATCAAAATGTTTCGAGAGCTGTGAACTTGTTATAGGGATTTTCATATGTTAATTGTTTGTGGTTTTAACACTCCAGCCTTGACTGTCAATTCAAATATAGGCCTAATTATATCACACTATTGGGGATAACAGTTACAAGAAAAGATGTGTAGCTATAAAAAACATTCATTAGTACAATTACTTAAACTTATCTTGGATGATGATTAAAATAATAACTCCGACTTAACATAATACAACTGAGCAGTCTGATGTATAGTAATCTTGAACATTTTGATATGTGTAGGAATCCAAGTTTGTATAACTCTCATAGTTAATACTTATTAGTTCATATTAGTCTGACAATGCCCTTTATTAAGTTGAGTTGCGAGGTGCAGCGAAGAAGCGATTGATGAAGATAGAGTTGAAGTTCAGTCTTGCGGTTGGTGCCACTCTATTTTCGATGTGTTTTGTTGCCATTTGAGCTGTTCCTCCAGCCGAGCCACCCACTGCCCCGCCTATCACCCCGTACAGCACCATACCCCACGGCCCCTCTATAGACCCCACCAGTGCTCCCATGATTGCTCCCACAACTATTCCAGTCCCCAGCCCTCGAGCTAAGGACGTCCTGAGCCAGCTATTGTCTAATTCTGCTTTAGCTCTGATCTCTGCCCCAATATTGGTAGTGTAGGCATCTCTTTTGCGGTATAACTCGTCTGAAATGTACCGGTTTTCCAGCTCATTACAAGCCTTTTCCATCTCTACGGCTCTCTTCTTTCTCAACCTTTTCTCCTCTTTCTTCACCATCTCCTCCGCTTTTTGGAAGCTGCTGCCAGAGTAGTAAGCACCGGCCAAAGAGGCTACCATCCACTCAATTTTCTGAAGGAGTTCCAGATCACGGTTGCGATCCCGCCAGTTCTTGTTAAAGATGTGAAACCGACCTTCATACTTCTCCACAAGCTCTCTCAAATACCAGCTGCTTTTCTTCACTCTTTCCTCCATTGTTGCACTTTCTATTGACCCTTCATGTGCAAGCAGCACCATGCAATGTTTCAGACAGTGTCTCCCAAAGCGCTTTTTGAGTAATTTGGCAGTTTTCATATCATTAGGAGAAATTGTTTCCAAGTCAAAAGCAACCAGAAAGGCATGTGGACCTGGTACGCACAGACACTTGGATCTTCTAAGTTCGTTCTCTCTTTTAACAGCCGTTATGTCTTTGTCATATATGTTGGGCCCATTGACCACAGATACACGCCTCCCAGCCAACTCCCCAACATTCTTTCTGGAACAAGAAATACTGTTAATATCTTTTGGGAACTCCTCACGTCCTAATATGACATTGGTCAATAGGAATTGGGATGGACCGCTGCTGCCGACCACCATCAACCTCAATTCAAGAGCAGAGCCTGAGGAAAAAAAGGCTTAGATTAAAAAAATAGGTATCTCAGAAACATAATGTACAAAGATGAATACAATTGTGTATTATCATGCAATGTTCACAATCTGCAATGTGTTTCCATATTATTAATTATTCAAAAAGCAGATCAAGTGGATTGAGGTAATTCACTGTACAATGGACAGTGAGAAGCAGATTTAGTATAAATGCATGTCATAATATTCAACAAACAAGAGCCTAATGTATATTTTGGCCATTGAATGTCTTCCACTCTGATAAAACAAAAGAGCATTGCATACCTTTATTTCTCTTGTCCATTTCAGTGTTTCATGTCCGTTGAAGTTCAAACTGGGATTTGATTTGCAGCTCCACTAACATGCTCTCTGTTGATAGCCCAATTGTGTAACAGATTTGTAGCGGAAAATGACCCGAGGCTTTGCACACATTGATGTTTTTCCGGCTAGACAAAAAAAAAAAGAATCCAAACAAAATGTATTATTTCAAGTCATTTATTGAGACCGATTATAGTCAACCATAAAGTAGTGGAATTAGATTGTTATTTTCTTGCGCTATAATAAACACATTTCAAAAGCATTACATGATAACTTCTGAGAATTGTGTAATCAGTGCCACATTGCACTGATCCCACAGTCAAGATAATTAACTAGTGCAATCAGTATAATGAGGAATAATAAGAGGCAAATATCCCAAAAACAGATTCACTAATTATTCATTCGTATTCTAGAGGGAAAAAACAAGGTCGTTTCCTCGACACAGTGCCAAATTACGTGTGACACAATTTAATCAATAGCTCATTAAATTGCTTGGTTTATGTCCAACTATTGTTAAACTCTATATTTCTCTGTGCCTTCTAAGCTATGCAGGTATGCAGCACTATAGGTATATACATATAGACCTAAATGCGAGTATACATTTATCTGATTTTTACTCTTATTAAACTTGTCCATGTAGACATGTGCCATTCTACAGTCTGTGATAAGTACACACACTTCTCTTGTGTTCGTGTTGGATCCTCTACTTTCTGAATATAACTTAAAGATATAACTGCATCTATTAAGTGTAATAACTTAGCTTACCTCAAATAAAACTACAATATGACGTCTTTAGAAACAAATAAAATAAAGTATATGAATCATCCATGGTATGAATACAAGCAGCGTGTCATACGTTTTTAGCGCCCTCGTGTGATCATACATTTTACTACAGAGACAGGTAGTCCCTCCCTCCTGACCTACGTCACATCCGAATCAAGTCAGCTGTCCAGCTGCGTGCAAATAGTAAGGTATTAAGTAAGTAAAATAGTAAAGTAAGTATTTTTTATTCCTTCAAAAGTGCAGGCATGTTGTATACCTGCACTTTTGAAGAAAGAAAAAAAGACAGAGACAGGAAGTCCCCCCCGACCTACGTCACATCCGACATCAAGTCAGCTGTCCAAAGCGTGGGTTGCGTGCAAATACTAAGGTCGATAAACTTTATTGATCTCACTATTGTTAAATGAATTGACCAATTCTGCGTTATTTCCAAGTATTGGCTGGTTTACGACAAGCTGGAAAATATGTGTTGTGTTCAAATCAAGAAAAAGTGTCCATTTGCTTTATTTCGCTTCTTATGATGTTCTGTCTCGGTACTTCTCTGAGACTCGTTCCTGTTTGTGTACGCGCTTTCCCCCGATGCTTCTCGTCTATCATCCCGGGATTAGATGAGCCAATTGGGGACGAAATACAAAGAACAGCCTCCCTCTACGTCCATGTAAGCTTTTCTAGATTGTCACCAAAAAATCCTCCATAAACGTGCATAACTTACATCAATGTGTTTTTTATTCTCATATGCAGTGGCCGTACTGTCTCAGAAGATGTTCGTACTGCAACTTCAATAAATACATTTCCAGATCAAGCAATAATAATGACTCCATTACCGAGTGTCTTCAAAAAGAGACTCAAACCTTGATTCGACTGAGTCAAGTTTCATGGTATCTATTACATACGTACAACTTTGTAATTATTAAAATGGGTATTTATTATTGTTAGTCTTTGTGTTAGATAGAGCATGCTTGATGCTGAGAAGGCCCACCGTTTTTCAGAGAATATGAAATATACTATTACTGTAAAGTCAATTGATTGAGGAACCTTTTAACTAATGGCTCATTGAAACCAACTACATTTAGTTACTGATTGATAAACTTTATATAGATAGACTTAGACTTAAATACAAGCAGATAATTCTATAATGACTGCAGAGTGAAATGTCTACCAAGCAATTTTTACACCACAGTGTAAGGTAAGCTCATTGAAGATGATCTTCAGGGGCATCACTTTGGAAAAATGTATTAAAATCCCACATTCACAGACCTTTCAGGATCTAATCAACTCATTAATCAAACTTTCATTTATTATAGCTCAAAATATACACAATTTTTTTATTTTATAAGTTTAAATTACACTTCCCACTAAACTATTTTTGTTAGTGATTGCAGTAGCCAAATATTTGAAGGTGCCAGTTTCTGGCCTCTCCAATGGAGAGCATCATTTGCTCTCCATTTATACTCAGGATTGGTGAAAATACTTGAATCACTTTAGTGCTGTCACTTTCTATAGTTGAGAAAAGTAAGACAGCTTTTCGATGAATAAAGAAATTGGGTTGTATGCTTTATTGGCAGCCTTTTATTTACTGTCCTATGTTTTTGCAGCATCACTTCAGTGTTTTTTGGAGGAGGGACACCGAGCTTAGCCCACCCTTCAACCATCGCAGCAGTGCTTGAATCCATTTCACAACAAGCTCATATTCCTCACAATGTTGAGGTGACACTGGAGGTCAACCCCACCCCCCTTGGAAGATCAAAGTTGGAGGACTTTTACCATGCTGGAGTGAACCGCTTCTCAATTGGCATTCAGGTGAGATAAGTTGACAAAATCCATCCATCGATTTTTGTCCCCTTAGCCCAATACTCGGACGGGGGTGGGAATCAGAGCTGCCACCCAATTAGCACCAGCTCAGCCATCTGCCCCGGCAGCGACGACACCAAGGCTGTTAATGTGAATGTGTAAATTACTGCAATATGCAATAGAGACTGAATTGCCTTTTATTGGCCTTACTTTCCCAGTCTGGGCTAATCTAATCTACAGTCTAAAATAAGGATTTGTACTGGATTGTATAGGATTAGTTAATAACATGTGAACTCCACCATGTTACCGTCGTCTGCCACCCTCAATCTTTCTGTATCATAATATGTATGATTTGCTATTATTTTTTAGTGGTACATGTTGTAGACCCGTTTGTGTTAAGGACAAATACCATGCAACAATGTGCTTTTATGTGTGTTTTATCATGTTGCCAACTTGTTCTCTCATCAAAACAAGCTGGAGTTCTTTACTACACCATCTGATTCTGGCACAAACATGTCCCCCATCTCTTGTCTTGTCTAAAAGAGCGGTTTTCCAATGTTTAAAATTAATACAGCTACCAAATTTGTTTTGTAATTATTTTTCAGTAAAATGATCTTGCGTTCAGCTGCTTCCCTTACCTTATCTAAATTAATTAATAATTGTTAATTGTTAATTGTGTGCACCATGTGCACTTGTATATTGTAAATAGTAACTGTAACTCTATTTTAAATTTAAATTTATTCTTTAGAAGTGTTTTTATTCTTATTTTTATTATCTCTTTTTGACTGTTGCACTGAGCCAAAGCAATTTCCAAGTCTGTGACCTCCCGTTACTTACGTTGGCAATAAAAATGATTCTGATTCTGATTCTGATTCTAATGAATAAATTGAATTGTTGGAATATATCACTAGATGGCAGTGCCGGCACATTCAAGTCATATGTTACTTTCTATTTGTTTATTAAATAACACATGTCGCGTATCCCAACAGAAAGAGTCTTGTAAAAGAATAATATTAAGGACAAATCAGACCACAACATGCTATAATGTTGTGCCGTGTGAGTTTGGAAGGTGTGGTGATTGGCTGACTGAGTGAGGACGGTTCTCTTTTTCACTTTTCTGCCTGAAAAATGTATATGTTTAGAGAGCGAGGGACTATAGATGGATTATATTGCATTATCTATATATTTTCTATTTATAGTTATATATTCTATTCCATTTGTCCTCTGCATTTGACCCATGCTGCAGTGCCACCAGGGAAACTTGTCAGAAGCAGTAAGCTCAGGGATCTCCAGATGTTGATCTTGGTCAAGACTTCCGGGGCTGGAGGATTTGACCTATTGTGACGGGGAAACTATTGGCATGGGAAACCGGAGCAGTGCATTATAGGAGAACATGCAAACTCCTCTCAGAAAAGCCCTGTTTCGAATGGGATTCGAACCCTGGACCTTCTCACTGAGAAGCTAACCATTTAGAAAGACATAACATTTGCTTTCTGTTTTCATACCTCATCTTTGTATGCTGTTCATTCAGAAGACGCTCATACAGATATTTGTAATTGCTCTTCGCAGACTCTCAATGATGAAGATTTGTGCGTTCTGGCGAGAGACCACAGTTCCCACGATGCATTGCGGACCGTAGAGGAGGCATCGCGGCTGTGTCCTGGCAGAGTTTCTGTTGACCTGATGTTCGGGCGCCCTCTGCAGACGGCCCACTCCTGGGACAGGGAGTTGAAGGAGGTGTTGCAGGTGTGTGATGACCACCTGTCGCTGTACCAGCTCACTGTGGAAAGAGGAACACAGCTTTTCAAACAGGTGCAACAAGGAGAAGTGACAATGCCTGGAGATGAAATCACTGCTGACATGTATGAAAGAGCCAGGGCTCTTCTCCACCAGCACGGCTTTCAGCAATATGAAGTGTCCAACTTTGCACGACGTGTGAGTTACCAACTGCTGAATCTTTTCATTAATAGTGGAAGCCTTCATTTATCTTTATTTTTTTATTTGCAGAATGCTGTCAGCCATCACAATCTCAGTTATTGGAAAGGGAGACAGTACATTGGTGTTGGACCAGGTAATTTCAAGAATCATTCCACTAAGGCCATGTCCACTCGTAGCCGCGTATTTTTTAAAACAGAATTTTTCCCCCCCTCTGTTTATAAAACTATTTGCATCCTCACATAACCGAGCATCTGCGTTTTCGATCACATTCATAACATTCCAAAAATGTGCGTCCTCTGACGTCCTGTGTCGGGGTAAAAACAAGTGGGCTGAGCCTTGATGCTGACGCCGGTACTTCTGTAGCGGCACTTTTACAGTCATTGAAGAAACTCAGGGGAAAGACATATGTTTACAAGCACTTACCCTCGTCCTCAGCCCTGGTTTAATCCTGGTTTAGCTCCTGTTTTGGGGCGTGAGTCCCCGTGATCACTTTGCTGCTCTTTGATGTGGAGCGAGGATGTTCGCTGCTGCAAACCGCTCGCAGCAGCGAACAGTTCAAAGGCAATAAGATCCATGCTTCCTCAGTGATCAGAGGTTGTATGTTTTGTTTGTTGTTGTTTTGTGGGCATACTGTGACGCGTGAAAACGCATAACTCCGGTTATCTCTGTCTACACGCAAATGCATAAACGAAGTTTTCAAAAATCTCCACTTTGCCCGGAGTTGTTTTATATATTCCTTTATGATGCGTTGTCATGTGGATGACAGGTGCAAACGAAGAAAAATATCTGCGGTTTAGCAGATACCCGGTTTAGGAAATACTGTAAGTAGTACCAACTTATTCAGTATTTCAGTCAATTTCTTAACTCCAACACTGCTGAAAAGAAAGCATTTACCCTGAAGCAATGCTGAAGTAACTACAGCAGTTCCTTGCTCTCAAAACCATTTGGGTCTATCACTGGTTTTCACATGCATGTATTTTTTTTGGCATCGGTCACATCTTTATATTGGCTTTTTCAGACAGAAAAGTGCACAGTAATTTCTTTATTAGTAAGTTGTTGGCATGTGAATAAAATGTCAAACATTCCGACAGGGATGGCTGAAGACCTACTGGTTGGAGAACCCTGTACTATACTGTATAATATGCCAGTTAGTTGAGATAGTACATGTATTTGAATTAGATTTTCTATCAGCAGCTTTTCAAAAAACTTTTTTATGAAGCCTCTGCAAACTGTGCCATGCATAAGACTGTACATTTTTGTTTAAGGAGCACACGGCAGATTTGTTCCCCTCGGTGAGGGAGTTGTTTGTCGAGAGGCCAGGACCCAAACTTTGGAGCCTGAAGTCTGGATGTGTGAGGTCCAGAAGAAGGGACATGGCACCCGAAGGAGGATTCAGCTGCGGCCATATGAACTGTAAGTATTGAACCAAAATGTGATATCTGTTGGTGATATGGTTAACATGTGAGCCAGCACGAGAAGGCAACGCTGTACTGAGACTGTTCTTGAGAAGTCCTATCTATAGACTTGTGTGTGGACTCACCCTCTCCTCATTATCAAGTCTGCTTTGTGACTATAGACAAATGTGTTTGCAGAATAGAGGAGGTGTTGGTGATGGGAATGAGAATGACCAACGGAATAACGCACAAGGTAACGTCAAGATGAATCATAATATTGACACTGGTATAATTATGTCAAATGATTACTTGATAAAGAAAGAACTGATTTTGAAGGAATATCATTGCACACGAGTAGATGTTGAATTTGTTTAAAATTCTTTAAAATTCTTCATAGATTGCTTCATCAACTTAAAAGGAAAGTGCATACTATACTCACAAAGGTTGAACTTGGCAAAAAACTATTTAGGCTTTAGTCAATATTGATTAAACATGTAAATTAAATTTGATTTGGACTGAATACCACAATGTTTTGCCATTTGGCTCCATATCTTCTCATTGTTGCAGTCTTCATTTAAAAATATGCCTCAATAAAAAATTGTACAATAATTGGTTGATTTAAGAAACCGTCAACTGATTAATGGAATTAACGACCTACATTTCAATTTCATTACAATTGCATTCAAATAATTGTATTCCAGCCACCTAAATTGTTGCCCCTTTCTTTGTCATTTACAAAACACACAAATCTTTACAAAACACACAAATCTGTACAGAACACACAAACACGAGTATGCAATGTAGTTTTTATTTTGTTGTAATATTAATTAAGTAAACCTCTTTTTGCGTCTCTCAGCACTGGCAGTGTTTCAGTCCACACTTCAACCTCCATCATGTTTTTGGTTCCTCACCGAGTGTTCAAGGTTTACTGCAAAGTGGAAATCTAGTATTAGATGAAAGGTGATTCATATTCACGTGACATGAGTTTTAGTCAAGAAAACTGACGAACAATCCACAATTGTCTTTTCCAGAGGTCTTCGCTGCTCATATGAGGGTCTGTCCTTACTGGACAGTATACTACCCACTCTGCTATTGGAGATTGAACAGATATATGCTCCAAAACAAAAAGACAATCACATTTTTTACAATTCAAGGTGAGAATGACAAGGAGGAAATATTTATTATATTATGTTGACTGATTTAGTGATGTTAAAGGCTTACATTTAAAGCTTCATAAATTATTGGTCTTCATTGGCTTACCATTGGCTACCATTAAATCATTGAGTTACAATAGTAAATCCTTTTTCATCAGCATTATTACAATCATGACTACACAGGAAACAAATCTCACCTTCCCTAATTTGTTTTCATTATTGGACCGGAAATTGCTCGTACTCGAGTTGGTGTTAATGTGTAATAATTATGCATGGATGTGTGTAATGAGATACAGTGGTTTATCATCTGTTCCCTTTTGTTAATATGCCCACAATAAAAGCACTTACCGATAAGTGTTTGTTAATCTTATTATGGAACTGTACGGTACTCAGAAGGGATATATTATTGTCACAAATGTAGCAGATTTGTCATAGTTGCACATGTATGAATAAAACTCATACAAAAGATCCCTTGGGCTATATGTTTTTTTGTTTTTTTTTTCTGTCCGTGGTGCTAAATCCACCTCAGCTCATCGTTTTGTTCCTGTCGCCCACATACAAAACTTATTTTCAGTGTGAGAGACGCTTCAGCTGTTAAATGTTCAAGGCTTTGCTGCATCCTCTATCAACTCTCTGCAGTGTATGTGGACAGCTAAATGTGGCACTATATCAACATATGTTTAGTTATAAGTTACATGTTGCTAATTCAATGTAAAGCCTGAACTTCAACCAAAACGTTGTTTAGAGCGTTATCTTTGCATAATTATGATTGCTTCATTAGGGTCTGGATATTGTTTTTATCCAAAAATAAATTGCTACAGTATATACACCCATAAATAGCCTTTTCAGTCTTTTAAAATCAGTGTTAGATAAATAACTTGATTATCTTGCTAAGAACTTACTTAGCAGACACCAGAACCACCCATCCATAATGAAAACACACACATACAGTAGGTAAAAATATACTAAAGTACATTATTTTTCGTTTTTTTATGTAGGCCATGATGATAATAAATATTCAGGTTATTTTATTTACTTAAATGATTCGAACCAGAGACAGGTGTGATATGATAAATGCTATAAAGAGTTTATTTATACATTATACAAAAGGTACAAATATTATGCATTGGTCCAGCCAAATGCTACAGGAGTATAACCCCTTACATTAAATGACATTGCAGCATACTACTACAATTAGGTTTCCAAGAAGGCTCAAATTCATTGAATCTGACACCTCTCGGGTTTGGTTTTTCTGCTTGATCCAAGCACTAATTTCAAGTCCGTGGTAAAACTGGGTCTACGCGCAAGTGGATCCACGGCTCCACATGGCGCACACTTGTGCGTCTTGGCGCTGCTCCTGCCCTTGTGCGCTGCGCAGACGGACTGACAGCTGAGGATGGGGATGATCTCATGACGTGAGGGGCTCATCTCATCGGGCAGACCACCCACATGGGCCAGAGCTCTGAACAAGAGCTCTAGTCCCACACTGTTCTTAGCTGAGGTTTCCACGTACGTAACATCTTCACTCAACGTTTTGACCACCTCCGAACGACCCACGACTCTCTGGGCGCCCAGGTCCGCCTTATTGCCACATACTACAATAGGGACCTTGGCCGGGGTCTTCGTTTTAAGAAACTTGGTCTTTGCAGATTTAATCTCACTGATGAGATCACACGCCTCTCGGAATGTCTCTTTATCGTCTAAACTGAAGACGAGCAGAAAGATGTCACCTGAGAGAGAAGAGTGCTGTTAATATTTATAATAACTCGCATTGTTCTTCATGAGTTCATGAATGTGAGACTCACCTGTGAGGATGGACAGTCTGCGCTTCGCGGGGAAGTCTCTCTCGCACGCTGCATCCAGCAGATCCACTCGGTACGTCTCTCCTCCGATGTGGAACAGCTTTCTGTGAAAGTCCTCTCTGGTGGGCTCATAGTGTTCTTTAAAGTCTTTACCCAAGAACCTTAGCAGGAGGTTGCTTTTTCCCACTTTAGGTGCACCAAGCACGACTATCCTCTGGCAGTGCTGCGGTTTTATTCGACAGACATCCATATTGTCCACGGATTTTTTCACAAGCTTGTCATTCGACACTTGCCGCTGACCTGAGCTTGACCTGGCCGGTCCCCCCAGGCCCTGGAGTCCGAGGCTCATGCCAGTCTGGGACGAACACTTGTTGGGAGGCTGAAGGACAGGAGACCGTTGCAGGTGCGCTGCGCCTGGTGGATGATGTCCGGTGAAGCTGAACAGGTTGAGGATGCCATCAAAGGGAAGGTCGCCCTTCTCTGAGTTCATCTCTGCGTTCGTCTCTCCCGGACGTCCCGACATCCAGAGCATCACCAATAGCGCTTTGTCTCTCCTCCTCACAAGCACCGCTCACTTTTATGGGTGCGCACTAGACGCGCGTTCTGCGTCATCAAGTGTCATCTACAAATGCATTCCTTTTATAGACGCTTATTATCACGGCCAAGTGTTCCCAGTTTAACTCGCGATCTTACTGTGAATATTTAGCACCACACAACTCTCTAGGACATCGCATTCTCTGGCATGTTTTACACACAATTGTGCTGTCATTTGCGCAAAGTGAAATACAGCCTATTGATTTAATCAAAAAGTGTATTTTATATTATATATTCTTAATTCAACTGATAAAAAATTAAACTAAAAATAGTTCATATAACTTAATTATGTGACATCTGCCTGTCTAACAAATACTTCATGTCACAGAGAAATTATGCAGTCACGACCAGCAGCTCCTGCTGTGATTCAAACTATAGTCATAGCTTTAAAAAAGCAAATTTACGCAAAAGACAGTCATATGGCACACACTGTTCTATTGGCATGGTAATTGATTTAGATAGTCCTGCCGCCCCAATCATCTCTGTATCCTTTTGATGAAGCAAGGACAAGAGGCTGCTGCCGTCTTCCCGAGTACATTGGGCTGTTGCATCCAGACACTGTTCTGTCGTGACATATTTGAATATGTAACGTCAGCACCAGTTGAGAGGCAATTTTTATGTTGTTTTCTATGAGTCTGTTATCAGAGGGTAATTGTTCTTAAAATATATTTAAAAAACAACAAATGCATACTAGATTTTTTTTAGACTGGATTTGAAAGTGTACATTATTACAAGCAGAGTTAAATTATTTGTCATTTCTCATAACCACCAGTAAAAGCAGACGTCACCATGACACACCATCTCCTACCCAGAAACAGCATCACTTGCCCAGCATCAGCTGATTATCATCTGAAAAAATATTCAATCAGACTAGCATAAAAGTTAATTGACATAATCAAGTTAGTGTCTGTTAACAGCATAGAGAATGTCATGATGCATTTATCAGAGATGCGAACTATTATGTCACATCTCGGGATTTATGTGACAATATGAAAATAGGGTAAAGTTAAGACTATTGTCACAGTTATGTTTGTCATAATCAAAATATTGAAAGTATTTCCTCCGTGTTTTACCCATAGACTGTATATATTAATGTTTTACCAGAGCACGAAATTAGAAAAAATATACAGAAGACAACTACACAGAGGTATCCACTAGAGGGCAGCACATACATTTAATCAAAGATACAAATCTAACACATTGATTCTTAATGTCCACCTGTCAGTACTTACTTTCACCTCTGTACACCGTGTGATGAATTGCATACATTAACATTTAACTTATAAATTGTGGCAGAAACAGCAGTCCAGTTCCCACAAGGATAGACTCGCTGTCACTCACACCCTGTTATGTTTCCTCTATTCATGACGTCATGGCCGGTGCCCCACTATAGGCTGGCTTTATCCCCCTCCCTCTCTGCCTAGACCTATGTCCCCCTGCATGTGCTGACCTCATCAGGCTTTGTTGGTAGACAAAGCATGCTCTGCCTCTGTTTGCAGGAGAAATACAGATGCAGGGAGGGAGGACAAGGAGACATCAACTTCATTATGAGCCATTGTATTTGCAAGTTCAGAATACCAAGTGAAAACACACAAATATGTTAACTATTCTGACCAGGTAGAAGCACTTTATGAAGTTTTCTGTCCACCAAGCCTTGAAATTTCATAAATAATTTGCATGACTATCTAAGATTCCTGACGTGAATTCTTTAGAAGGCAACACCTAACATTGCACAAGAAGAAAGAATAGTAAGGTTAGGGTTGTAAAGCATTTTGGAGAATGTGCACTTTCTCATATTGATATGGTCTAGGATGCAAAGAATCAAAAAGAAAATACACATGTTTTCTTGTGTAATTTTTTAGTAAAGTACATTATTATTATAGATCCATGAGTACAGTATTTTAACTTTGTCCCATTGCAGTGTAAGTGACGTGTCTTTGTTGGCAGTAGGTGGAGCTGGTATTTCCTGTATATCCTGCTCAGTCAACCTCTCAAGACTGTATTATTCTTCTGCACTGACTGAGATTGTCTTACTACATGCGACAAGTATATCTCAAAGCTGCAAGGTTAGGCGTTACACAAAACCTCCAAAACAAGCCTAAGATATCCGGACAGTCTCCCATTAGTCCTAATAAATAAGTAAACAGTTGTGAAATGATGAAGTAGCTATAGAGGAAATGCACTTCTTTCAATTCCCAATGGTATAATCTGACTTATTATTAATATTAATGAGCAGAAGTGGGGGAAAGTTGAAGCATTTTTGTGGTTTCTATAAGGAAGTATGGGACTGGGTCAAGCTACTATCTCTATCTTGATGGTGATATAGAGCTCAAGGAGTGATAAAAAAAAGCCTTTGTTTTTGTTAATAATTATATGTATATGTGTTAAATAACAGTTCAGTGACCTAACCATGATGACTTGTGATGGTTTGAAAACAATTTAAACTGGTCAAAGAAATTAGAAAAATATTAGATAAAATCAGTGTGTTTTATAATGCCCAAAATCAAAACATCAGTCATTTTAAAAGCAGGTACATGACTCCCTCGTGTTGGATTTGACTGGTTGTATTGTTTTATATAAGACAACAAATAGAGAAAACAGTTTTACTAAGGCTTACTTCGTTGCAGCACTTCAGAAACTGTTTTAAAAAATATAATGTGCTTTATACATATAAATAAAGTGAAGGTTCCAAGACTGGTAACAGCAAAACCACCTTACACCAAACAACAGGTACTTAGTCAAAATGTAGTTATCTACCTAAAATAAAGTATATGATAACTTGAAGTCTGGATATTTTAGCATAATAACCTGTTTTCAAGCAATTTTCAATGCCCATTAAATTTGTTTTCATCTTAAGTCCATGTTTGAATGATTTTTATGTGTTATATACTTATATATACTTCAGCTGTAATGACACAATAGTAGTATTGATATCAGGACCAGATTGGATCCCAGAAATTGTAAGTGGAACATCCCTACTTGAAGGGTTTTATTGTATCCTGTTGCCTTTATTAATTTAAACCCTCGTTGAAAGCTTTATTGTTGAAACTAGTAATATTTATTGGATATGTTGACCTGATGAAAAGAGCTTGATATTTGAAATTCTTATTGGACACTGAATGAAGGAAAAAACCATAATAATAGGCCTACCATTATATTTTTCAACGTTTTTTTTAAATGTTCTATTAGAAATAAATACAGAAAATCGCTTAAAAATTCACTTTTATTTTTTGTATTTTTTAAAAATTCGTTCTACATAATATATAATGTGTGAGTCTGTCGTTGTTTAGCCGATTAATTGGTTGATGGTTTCCTAAAGGGACCACAATTTTTTTTAGTTGACTGATTGTTATAATTTAAAGGCAAATCATGAAAACAAAAACAAAAAACTGCAGAATGGGAATGTATGGAGCAACAGGGCTTACATTTAGGCTTTTATTTAAACTCCCATCTCACATTTTTCAATATTTATAAAAGATTTTTTCTATGGTATAATGGGTCAGATATGTATTTTAAAGAGCCCTCTCTCTTCTTAGTCGAATAATTGATCGGTATGGCACGTGTTTAGTCCAAGTCGGAGCGTCATTGGCCCCTCACCTGTGGCCTGCACTGGTGGCACCGACGCTGAAAGGGTTAAAGTCTGACTCCTCACTCGCCCTCCCCCTCCCTCCCTCCCTCCTCCCCCTCCCTCCCTCCCTCCTCCCCCTCCCTCCCTCCCCTCCCTCCTCCCCCTCCCCCTCCCTCCCTCCCTCCCTCCCTCCTCCCCCTCCCTCCTCCCCCTCCCCCTCCCCTCCCTCCCTCCCTCCCCCCTCCTCCCCTCCCCCTCCCTCCCTCCCCCCCTCCCTCCCTCCCTCCTCTCCCCTCCCTCCCGGCCCTCTCCCTTCCCATTTTCAGTGTTTTTACAAAGAGGTGGGGGTGATCCGTGTGCCATCTGCAAGCCCCTACTCTGCCCTTACATTTTATTTTATTTTATTTTTTTTTTACAAACAAACAATCCACACTTTCCGGGAGTGGATAATAATTTTGTTGATGTACGCGCGTATCTGCTTTTGTCCGCTTTCACAATAGTTTGAGATCGCTCCGGGACATGACGGCGGGGGAAGGCGTATCGTTTTCTTTTCATTTTACCCAAAACCTCCACAAGTTGGGACCCCTTTGAGGAGCTATGACCTGAAGGTAATAAGGGAAAGCAAGCGATGGAAGCGAGAATCCGATTATACTTTTAATATTTTAACTTTTGAGGCGGATGGCTGAGTCACGCTACGTAAACCTTATCGCATTTGACGCAATGTGCCCTGTACAGTTTGCTATTCCAGTTTGGGACACGGGGCTTTAGGGGGAATTTCAATCGCATTTCTCCACAGCCCCTAACAGCTGTGGACTAACAAATAGGCCTTTTATATATGTCAAAAAAATCTGAGTGTTTGGGGGGTGTGTGTATGTATAAGGTCGGATGTGGTTACTTTCAAAGAAAATGTAGTTTGTATCCAAGATTACAAGGATACATTTTCATGGTTGAAATCGTACAACGTGTATTTGTCTTGAAGTGATTCCACCCCTTTACCAGTCAACCAAGTCATCCAAAAGTGAAAGTATACTTGTTTTCAACACATCCTTTAACTTCATCTGGCGTTCAAATGGCTCCAAATATCAGAGAGAATATTTTGATGTTGTGTTTATGTAATGTCACTAGGGAATATCCACCCATTTCTGCCTCTGACTCACATATTTCTTACAGAAAACCTATACAGAATGTCTTTCCAATAATTGAAATGTGAATGGTACTGACAGAGAGCACAGTTGAATCAATAGGTGACCATTAGAATAAACTGAAGCCACTTTCTAACCTAGTTACACATAGTCAATACTGCTCAGTTCTTGAGTATGATATGAAGTAAAGTGCACACCCTAGAGTCAGTTTTCCAGAGCACTATAACGACTAATTTGTCCGGTTTAAGAGTACTTTGTTTAATGACTCCACTTTGAGTACGTGTAAACGCATCTATAAGCCAAGGATAAATAGTGAAAAGTACATGTCACTAGTGAAAGTGATAAGAACTATAAACAAACTGTACCTTCAATCAGGGCACTGGTGTTTGATGTCTTTTTTATTTTCCTCCTGGCTTTCTTTTTTCTTGTGTATAATCCATTAGAGTTGTAAGCTAATGCCATACAGCTATCAAGTGACTACTTGTCAATACACTACTTAACAAAGACTTTAAATTTGTGTGGCACATCACTTTCTGATCATTATTATGAAATGGGGACTGAAGTGTGAGCTGTAAATCATTTTCTATTTGGTAATTTATTTCATGTGGTACAATAACACTAACCATGTATTTGATTTGATTTGTCCTTATTTTTCCACAGAATTCTTGTGTGAGTCCAGATCTTTGCAACATTGATCAGAATATTCACATCAGAAGTGTGGATTGTGCTTTACTTAGTGAACTGTAAGAAAAGGCGGCATCATGCAGACCTCATCGCTTCGTCGTCAAATGAAAAATGTTGTCAACAACTACACAGAGGCTGAAATCAAGGTGCGGGAAGCCACCTCGAATGACCCCTGGGGACCTCCCACCACTCTGATGGCAGAAATCTCAGACTTGACCTTCAACATAGTGGCGAATGCTGAAGTTATGGGCATGTTATGGAAAAGACTCAATGACCACGGCAAGAACTGGCGTCATGTTTATAAGGCGCTGACCCTGATGGACTATCTAGTGAAGACCGGCTCTGATCAAGTGGCGAAGGAGTGTAAGGAGAAAATCTACTCTGTTCAGACTCTGAGGGACTTCCAGTATTTAGACAAAGATGGACGTGATCAGGGCATCAATGTGAGGGAGAAGGCCAAGCTGCTGGTGTCTCTGCTCAGAGATGAGGACAAGCTGAAGAGGGAGAGGAGCCAGGCGCTGAAGACCAAGACGCGCATGGCTGGGATGAGCAGCGGGCTGAGCTCCACGCCGCCTCCATACCCGGGACGCCACTCGAGTCACGCGTCCGGAGCCTACGGAGAGGAGACGGGCAGGTGCAGGAGAACGTCGTCCTCTCTTCCTTGTAAGTGCTTCAGTGTCAGCTGTGATGAAAGGCCCCATTATCTATTGCTCACGAGAAAAGGTCATGAGATGTGTCATTCACCTGGAACGTCAAAGTCAAAAGTTTGTGAGATAAAAATCTAGAAACAGATCTACAACAATTCAAATCTTTTGCATATTACAGCTTCCAATCTAAACAGATCTGTTTAACGCTCCTTTCATTCATGTCATATCGTGGTACAAGGGCTGTGTGCCAAAAATCAAAAGATTGCAATTTCTGCTTTGATTATCAACATCTACATTAAAATGGACTGACAGAAAATCATGTGATAGTAAAGAGTGAGAGGCTGATCTACCTCTGTCTATCTATCCTCATTCACCTTTAACAATGTATCTACTTTAATACGTTTAAGACACAGCACTCTCCAGCCGCCACAGTTGATCAAATTTCAACTAGAGAAATAATCAGCTTAAAAAAAAAATATGTTCATGTAGCACTAGCACTTTGAGATGTGCTCGCACATGTAAAGTGCCATGTGTGTTCTTGTAACATGTGACATAACATGCATTATGTTACAAGAACAGACTTTGATATTTACATTTTCTCAAACAAGTGAGTGCTTCATGCGCTCCATATACAAAAATCACATCTTTTCAGTGTTCTCATTTTTTGGGAAATATAAAACTTACTTAAACTTACTATCCCATAGCCTTTCCTCTGTTTATAGTGTATGTGTGTTAAAGTGTTAAAGTAACAAATGTGTGCTTTGTGTGCCTGTGGCGTTTATTCAAAGGCGCTCGTCAGAAGCACACTTGGGTCTTTATTAAAATACCACAACTTTGATTATCTTTGATCTTAGAGACCAAACCATATCCACAGTCTGCATACTGTTTCCCACAGATGTTATCAGATCTTTTTATCATCTCTTTTCATCTCTGCTTCATTTTATGCCACACATTTACTGCATAAATCTTTAAACATTTCTAAATCCGTTCCAGAAACGGTTTTAGACAATGAATGCATACATTTCAAAACATTGCCTGATCTTGATAATAAATATGGGTTTAACTGTGACAATAATCAAAAACCTAATTTTCACAAAATGCAAAGAAAGGACAAACAATTTCTTTTGCATTTAATAGGTAACATCTGAGGGGTATTTCCATATTTACCCATGTTTGCAACTCTGGATAATTATCCCAAAATGAGGTATTGTATTAATAACCAGAGCGGTAGACAAAATACTGTTGAATAATGTGGGTGGGGGTCAGCTAATTGCTAACAACCATTTCAGCACAAATGCACAGCGGAAGTGATTGATTTCTGAGAGTGTGTTTTGCCAACCTGCACCCTGTCAGCCTCTTAGACCAAGTTGCGACCCATAGCCAGGTCCCTGCTGGTACAGTGGGACCTCTTTACTGCCCAAGTCTGCTCTTGCATCCTGGAACCCACCCAGTTTCAGGGTAATAAGGTAGGCCCCATCCATTTCGCTCCCCTCCACTGGCCAGCCTCGCACACAGGCAGGCCATTGTTCTCGGGGCAGGGTGAGTTGGGCAGACGATGGTTCGCAATGCCAGCAAATGTCCCAAACAACAGACTGTGGAAGAGAATTAGCATGCACAGGCAGTAAACTCTCTGTAGGGTTGAGGTTATCTCTATGAGGTTTGAGGCCCTATAAAATAGTTAATTTAGTTAGGTAAATAAATATACATGAGCATTTTTTTGTACCACCGAAACTATTTCTTGTGCCATCATGCTGTGTCATCTCCCATAACACTAAACCCTTTTCTTCCTCTGTTTAGCCTCCACTTCCTCTTCTCGCTTCGTCCCAGACATAGAGCAGGCCCGACCGCACACCAGCGGAGAAGAGGAGCTGCAGCTGCAGCTGGCCTTGGCCATGAGCCGAGAAGAGAGTGAAAAGGTACCTCAGGCACTTGTGAGAAATAAACATGAAAATGTCCTTCATGTTCATATTTTAGTCAGTTATTCCGTAGTAAAACCTAAAATGGCCCCCATGCGTATATAGAATATATTCAGGCCTTTAAACACTACTACAGTACAGGCTGTGAAATAGTATTTACCAGAAGGCTTTAGAAAGAGATATCGTCATCGGTCTCTCATCTGGCCCATAATATCAGACTGACCAATCAGCATGAGTGATCCTGAGCATAGCAGCAGCTGCTGGAAGAGTGAAGCAGACAGGATGCATGCATTGATCCATAGCTGAGCTCTTAGCTCACATCTTGAGGCTGAGGACAGTAGTCCTGTGTCCTGCAGAGCGAAGTTTGCAGTAAAATGCCCTAATTGTATATCCCCTAAGTCTAGTGATCAAATTTGAATTACTTATCAATCATCCCCATTTCATCCCCATAACATCTTTGTAATCTTTATAGATCAGACAAATGTACTTTCATCTTTGATTAGACCTCCTCTTAATCATCCCTACTTGACCCTAGCCACCTCCTCCAACTGTGGATATTGATGAACAGACCCAGCTACAAATCGCTATGAGTCTCAGCAAGGAGGATTCAACGAAGGTAGTTACGTACTTAGTGGGTATCAATCCCCTAAAATAAATGTGCATGTTCTACTTTACTCCGGCTGGACTGTTTTTGGACTTCCTTGCTGCAATCTGATTATCAGAAGGTTGAGACTAATCATATGAGCCTGCAACTTTTGATTCCACTAACCAAAGAGCTCCGACTCCAAAACCAGTACATGCACTTTAAAGCGACGTCTCAGTTGCTGGATTGGAGTTGGAGACCGTAGATATGCTGCTAAGAATAAAGGCCATACCCTCCTCTTGTGTGTTAATGTGTGCTGTCCTTTTAGCCTGTTCCTCGTGCAACAACCAACAATGTAGACTTGGATGAAGACACCCAGCTTCAGATGGCCTTGAATCTAAGCAAAGAGGAGCACCAGCAGGTATAGTACATCAAATATTCTAATTTTTGCTCAATACATGGTGAATAAAGATGCACGAAGCAAAAACATGTATTGGAAATATTTTGTCAAAACATGTTATCTGCTACTTGACAGGAGCAGATGAGTCGCCAAGGAGATGAGTCTATGCTAATGAGGGCTCTTGAAGAAAGCAAACGTGAGATGGAGACTAAAGGCGGGGTATGAATTTCTGGGGTATGAATGATCTTAAACGGGGTTAATAAGAACTAGTGACTAGTTAATAATTTCTTCACCACAGAAGAAATTATTTAACTTTATTAACTTATGAGGAATAATTTATACTTACTTAGCTCTTTTCTTTGCATGTTTTGCACAGACCGCTTTTATGGACTTGGTAGATATTTTTGCAGTGCCCGCCGATGCACCGTTACGGGACACTCACAGCGGGCCGCATCAGGCGGCTGCGCGAGGTGGAGGCCTCCCCTGGGACTCTATGGGTTAGTCTCAAGTCATATGTGGTCCTAAACAATGTTTTAATTTCACTAGCTTGTCCTTATGATATTCTCATAGTTCTTGTTGGTTTTACAGATTACTTTTTTATACAAAGCAAAGTTATATGGAGTGTTAGTTATGTGATCATGTAGTTATGCATATTTAATTCCTACCCAAAAAGGTCTGTTTAGACTTTGTATTGTACATAAAAAGGAAATAATATGATTAACATAATCTTTAGACACCCCGTATATACTGTAGACAAGGGACAATTCTTGCATTCAACCTTTGGGGACTGCAGATGGAAATGAGTTGTCTAGCTCTAATCTGGTGCATATCTGTCTTTGAGCCTAATGTTGCTCTGCACTGTCCCTCCCAAATAAAGCGTCATTTAAACTTTTATCCCTCAATATGTCAGAATTCAGGCTGATCAAATCAATTTCAACAGGCACAAATCAGACCTTCACGATTGTTGTTTTTGCAAATAACATTTACTGAAAGCTTCAACTGTACTGACATTATTTTGGATCTTAATACCTCATACATAGACACATATTCTCAAAATAATGCAGCCTGCTGCCTCTTCTTGTATGCATGTCTTGTGTGTATGTTTTTTTTTTTTCATTTTCTTAAAAAGTATGCATTCAATCATTTAATATATTTTTTAATACAATCAAGATGCAGGTACCAACCTTTCACGACCTGATTCTCCGTGGATGGCTCCTCCAAGCAGTCCCCCTCCTCCTTGGGAGCCGTACCAGGCCTCTGCTGATCCTTGGGACGCTCCCATGAACAACGTCGCTGTCTCCAACAACAGGTCGTGGGCCTCCTCTGGCAGCACAGGTAAGTTTAAATACAAACTTTCAAATACAAACACAAAACATGAAAGGCAATGGATTTGTATTATTTTCAGGAGCTGAGTTTTCTGCACCGTTAAATCCATTGAGAGGGGCTGGAGCCTCGCCTCGCGCTGTTAGTCCGTCAGGTTTGTTTATACAGCTTTGCTTTTATTGATTATTCACAACAATTCTGTTAGACATTTGTATAATGAGTCTCACATTTTGATTTAGCTTTTTTTAACCATTTCTACCTAAACCCCAGCAGGTGGGTCGCATCAGTAATTGGTGCTTAGAACGTACATGTGTCAAGGTTTAGATTCTGTCAAAAAAAGTTGGATTGTTTTTGTAGTGACTTCATTAGACTAGACTGCTAATGATGCATTTTACACACAGACTCTTTAATAACAAAAGTCTTACCAAGCAATCACATTTAACTTCACGCTCCCTTCGTATCACCTCTCATCCCTAAAATTGGCACATTTTGACTTGAATAGATGGTGATTTATTTGATGAAGCTATGGACGGCGGAAGAGTAAGCATTAACGGAAGAGGAGATGCGGCGAGTCCTGAGCTGTTTGACCTGACAAACCTGAGGGAAAACCTGCCCTATGCTTCCAACAATCGCACATGTCGAACACCTGAATCATTCCTGGATCCGGCTGCAGCCTCACTTGTTAATCTGGACAGTTTAATCCCAGTGAATTCTGATGCCAAGAATAAAAATCCTTTTTTGTCAGGTAATTTATCTCTTATGGTAAGATGAAGTTCTATACTGGTACTTCAAAAAGTGTAAATATATATATTTTTTGTCTTCTTAGGTCTGACTGCTCCTTCTGTCAATAATCCATTCCAAACAGAGCAGCCAAAATTAACACTTAATCAACTTGGCTCCGGCTTGATCTCCACGGGTCCCAATAATACCTCCCTGCCGTACAGTGCGTCGCTGCCTCTGCCTCTGACCCACCAGCCCTCCAGCCTGCCCTCCTCGCTCACACATCCACAGCCCGGCCTGGACCTTTTGGGGACCATGCCTGAGCCTCTGCTGCCCCTGACAGGAAGCACACAGGGAGATCAGACATCACAAGCCAACCCAAACCCTTTCTTATGAGAGACAACTATGGATCTATTGCAAAATCTGAAAACATACAATTTCAGCTGGCTGACTGACTTTCCCTGATATTTGCCCGAACAGATACGTAGTCATGATAGTTTAAGACTTGATTGCTGCAGATTAGAAAATGATGAAGTTATTTAGTTTACTGGAAAAGGCTGAAAGTCAAATATAATGTCATCTCTTAACTTTTTTGTGATAATGAGATGCAAAATATTGAATATTGAAAAGCACAGTTTTGTGATTCATTGAGTTTGACAAGGACTTTATTTGTCAATGTTTCCCTGGATTGCAGCCTATTTTGATTTATAAACCCTGTTGATGATTTATCCTTTTCCCTGTTTCCCAGCTAAACCTGGAGCAAAAAAGGAAAATATAAATGCACATATGTCATGAGGTGCTTGGAATAAATGAATGTTGTAGCTTCTCAATGCTTCAACAGGATATACTGAAATAAACCGATCAATTTAGTACATATTACTGCCAGTGTTGAGCAAGTTACTCTAAAATACTAGTAATTACATGGATCTACATGTAATATGTCTATTATAATATTACTGCCTTGAAATCAAAAGAGTTACACTGCATTGAGCTACTTTTAGTGGCACTGATTGTGTTCTGTTGCAATTTCATCTAATTTGAAAAACACTTTTTAGTCACGATTAACCATACCATCTTTTTTTTAGTAGTTGTAGTTTTTCCTCAAATGAATTCTAAACTGAGAGAACGGACATTGTCAAATTTCAATATGGCATGTAATTAGTATTTTGGGTGGATTTTTACATTTTTTAGGTGGTCTGGGAATCCAGTAATATTTTAAGGAATAGAACTTGGCACTTGCTCCACGGGTGATTTTCTATTTTGTAATGTATTACTGACTTATTTTGTATTACTCTCAACAATGGTTGTATCAGGTCACTGCAAAGTGATGTCCATTAGGTTTTATTAGGAAAAGTATACCCTCTTATAGAACGGTGTAGTTTGGCAAATCACAGTATTGAAGGAAATCTGTTACAAACAATTGGTTGTAAATAAAACAAGCACTCAATATAAAGTCAATGATGCAGTATAAACTATTCAAATATGTGTAAAAACAAAACAGTTGAGGTAGGGAGGATCAAATATACACTTTGTACATATGTTCATTTTGTAGGTGATGACTCCAACCAGCCAACCACATCCTGAAGACCTTGTCCAGTGGAGGCACTCAGTTCCAACGTTGTGATCGATTGAGTGGCAAATTCAATAATTTCTTCTAATCTGAAAAGTGACTTCATTTCTATGAAGCCCATTAAACAAGGCATGTCCCTAAAATACAAAAGAAAATAAATAAAGTTTTTCAAATGTTTAACTTTCATGTTTGAAACATACCTTTTGTTAAATATTAGTAGCACAGAAACACCTTGAAGAGGCTCAGCTGCCAGAAGTGACAGGAGTTGGATGCAAGATGAAGATATCTGTGAAGTATTGGAGGCGTCCACCATAAACTACAAAATATATAAGTTAGATTTCTCAAAATGTAGTTCACTTTAATTAAAAATGGAGTACATACCATTACTGAAGAGGCTTCACTGTAGTAACTTGGCCATATTGGACTCATGCAGCCTCCAAGCTCTCTTAACGTCACCTTCTTTCTCCTCTTCAGATTGATTTCTATTAAGTTGGTCCCAACCTGTGAAAGAAAGAAGAAATATAGGGGCACAATAATTTTTCAGAAACAGAAGTGATCTGTAGAGCGTACGTTTTACAAGGTCCTGAGTGCAAATATAAGGCTGTATTGTGGTAAAATAAAATCCCTGGCAGGACAACAGGTAGAACCAACCCACATTGTAGAGACAAGCATTCCTCACACTTTACTAACGTTATAGTGAACCGTATGCTATAGTTTGCAAGGCGTGTAAACGCACTATCTAAAATATTTACCGTTGGCAAAGTTGAGGGGGGTGCCCCAAGTTCATCAAATCCATGAGAGCTGAACCATAAGACATGTTAAGAAAACTAGTGGCTCTAACGATTAGAGAGGGGTGTTGCTGTTTGTGTTAGCAGTGAGAGAGAATGTGTGGTGATATTGGGATCTACAGATGCTTCTGATACTGATAGCTAACAGCTAACGTTTAGCTCTGCAAAAAACAAAAGTCAGATGAAATCTTCCAGGTCCAAAGGATATTGTGCAAACGCTTCAATAGCATCGTTTTTCCGACACCCGTTGCACCAAGCAGCAAGCAGGTCTCAGTCCTGTTCACTTCACTCTGTCCGCAAGGACAGAGCGGATTTTTTATCCAGCGACAGCAATTAGCCAGCATAGCATCCGAACCTAGCATAGCAATGACCATAACAGAGAAGCGTCATGTAGAACCATGGTGATAACCACGTGGTCCCATCAGCCCATGCTCATTGGAAATTAGCAAACCAGAAGTAGTGCCTTTTCTGTGATTGGTTATGATACAGGAAACATAACCGTCTACATGCTTTTCTATTGGTCAGCACTAGATCGGAATCGGGACGGAAGCGTAAGTAAATATCAGAATCAGAATCATTTTTATTGCCACGTAAGTAACAGACTAACAAACTACCTATTCATGCCTAAACTTGACCAGCCATTCCCATGAAATAACCCCAGCCCACCCTTAACCCTAACCTTAACCATCTTACTCAGACGCCTAAAACTTAACCAGTCACCACTTAAGGACTGATTAGTCTAAAACTAATTCGAAAGTAGGATTAGTTCCGGTTTCGTCCCGATCCGTATATGATCTAGTGCCGACCCTGTTCTATTATTACAGTGTTTATTCAATGCAATGGAAGCTAAACTCAAGCAGGAGTTGGGGACTTCAGTTCTCAAGTCAACTGGGCATTCAGGAGGCGGCTGTATCAGCGAGGGCCAAAGTTACGATACAGACAGCGGCAGAATATTCGTAAAAATAAATCATAAAAGCGAGGTAATTATTTGCTCTACCATGTGCATTAAGGCTTAAGAGACCACTGTCATAAACAGACAAAGTATTCCAGGAACACTCAATTGTGTTTTAATTTCTCATGGTGAATGTTTAAGGCCAAATTGATGTTTGATGGTGAGCTGGCTAGTCTTCAAGCCATTTTAAAGACATCAACCATAAAGGCTCCTCAGCCCGTGAAGGTAATCGAGCTCGATAGGGGATGTGTTATTGTGATGGAACATCTGAACATGAAAGGGCTCAATAAGTAAGATACCTCTACACCAAACTACGTCTACTTATACAAACATGTATAAGTTATACTTCATGCATGGATTTTTTATTTGTAGGCACTCACAGCGTCTTGGAGAAGAACTGGCAGACATGCATCTTTCTAACAAGAGGCTCCTGGAAAAACTAAACAAAGATGAACAAACAATTGGTTTGTCACTAGAATTACATTCATGTTACCTCCTATTTCACTAGAATTACATTCATGTTACCTCCTATTTCACTAGAATTACATCCATGTTACCTCCTATTTCACTAGAATTACATCCATGTTACCTCCTATTTCACTAGAATTACATCCATGTTACCTCCTATTTCACTAGAATTACATTCATGTTACCTCCTATTTCATAGGGAAAGGTGCAGGACAGATGGATACAGATGCTGTTGTGAAATTTGGATTTGATGTTCCTACGTGCTGTGGATACCTACCACAAGTGATAGCAACATAATAACATGATATTGTATTACACCCTGTACTTGTGAAATTATATTTTATCTTATACGTTCTTCTTTTATTCAGGTTAATGAATGGCAGGAGGACTGGGTGACATTTTTCAGCAGACAGCGGCTCGAGCATCAGCTAAATTTAATTGAAAAGTCATATGGAGACAGAGAGTCTAGGGAACTATGGTCAACCTTACATGTGAGTATTTTCAGCTGTAATAAATTAACTGTCTTTATCTGTGATTGGCAGTTTTGTTTTTGTACAGCTCAAGGTTCCTCGGTTCTTCAAAGATGTAGAAATTGTTCCTGCTTTGGTTCATGGAGACCTTTGGAGTGGCAATGTGGCAGAATGTTCGGAGGGTCCTGTTATCTTTGACCCGGCTTCCTTTTATGGTCATTCTGAGTATGAATTGGGAATTGCAGGGATGTTTGGAGGCTTTGGTAAATCTTTCTACTCTGCATATCATGACAAAATACCCAAAGCTCCAGGGTTTGCACAAAGAAACCAACTTTATCAACTTTTCCACCACTTGAACCACTGGAACCACTTTGGGGGTAGTTACAGAGACTCTTCAATAAAAATAATGAAAGATTTGCTGAAACAGTCTTAAACAAACCCATGTAGTAGGAGAGCATGCACATAGATATTCCATTAGATTGCAATGTAAAATAAAATATCATTATAACAGAAATAGTCTTTATCACAATAACATTATGACTATGACCAAACTGTAAATCGCTTTGTGTTACATTTAAATATGAAAAGTACATGTTGTAGTAATCTGACTTGTATAGATGTGTTATCAATCAACATTAAACTTATGAGTAAAATATCAATGAATCATCTACTCTTAGTTTATATATATATACTTGTAGGAAGGTATAATTATGGGGTTGGGTCCAATTGACTATGGAATAACCAACTGTTTATTTTTATTCTTTCAAACAATTCTCTTTCACAGCTCTGACACAATTTTTACAGAACATGAGATTTATGGACAAAGCGCAGCACAAAGGTCCAGATGGAATCCATGTCTAATCCATTTGAACTTTTGTGTATATTTTTAGTTTGAGTTGGTCCTAGAATGTTTGAATGTTTGGGGGTAATTACAGATGCTCTTCAATAAAAATAATGAAAGCTTTGCTGAAACAGTGTTAAAAGAAAACATGTGTTGTAGAGCATACACATAGATATTCCTTTAGATTACAATGTAAAATGAAATAACATGATGACAGAAAGTCTTTTTTACAAAGACTGACCAAACTGTAAATCACTTTGTGTTACATTTTATAAATGAAAAGTGTTTTAAGAATAAAATTTGATTGATTGACATGTTGTAGAAATCTGACTTGTATAGATGTGTTATAAATTAACATTAAACTCATGAGTAAACTATTATACAATTATCCACTCTTTGTATATTGGAGGGTATATTTATGGGGTTGGGTCCAATTGACTATGGAATGACCAATTTTTATTTTTTATTTGTATTTTTTTTACAATTCCCCTTTTACAGCTCCAACACATTTTTTTTTTTTTCCTTTTTTTTTTTTTTTTACTGATAATGAGTTTTAGGGAATTATTATACAGCCAAAAGGTCCGGACGGACTCCATGTATTATCCATTTTCCAAGAAAATGGATGGATGGATGGACTTGTTTTTAGTTTGAGTTGGTCCTAGAATGTTTCAGTTGATGTCTGTTTTTCAATTTTCAATTTGTGTTCTTTTTTTTTTTTTTTTTTTTACCAAGTAGCAGACAAAGAAAAAAACATTTGGGTAAAAACCATACGATAGAGTGAAAACCATAAAACATTTATCCAGTCTCGCTCTTGAACTCATCTTACAGCACAGATCACGTGATTAAATGTGCCTGATCGGCATCCATAGCAGAGATGGGCGTGAACCGTAATATAATACATCCATGGCGTGAACACATCATGTCGCACTTTGTAGTTTGAAAACATCGTCTTTATGATAAATACAGGAATTTAACCTTTGTGTACGCTATCGCACAATACGTCACTGAGTGTGTCATTACACGGGTAACACCGATCGGCATTTTGCCGTTTTTTACGTGTAAAAACTGTATGCTAATTTGAGCTAGCTAGCCTTTCACCAAAACAGTCAGTATTAAGAATTATTATATGGTTGATAAAATGGCTTTACCTGAGAAAGACAATGTTGCCATGGCGTGTGAAGAAGGAGAAGCAGATGGAGGGGCTGAAGTCTGCAAACTTAGAGGTTTTAGTGAAAGGGTGGAGACCAAATCACTGATCTGTAGCCTGTCAGAATTATACGGTAATGTAAAATCAGTTGAAATAGCGATGGAGCGGTTTACTGGTGAGTTTCTTTAAGTATTACTATTAAACCCACTATTTAATATTTGCTTGTGTATAAGGCTTTTGTTGCTGTCTTTCTCAGTAATAATGGACAGATATCAGGAACAGCCACACCTGCTTGACCCACATCTTGGTACAATGTGCATTTCTATTTCTAGTATTGTTGTCTAATTGAAATACTGACTTTAACATCTAATAGACTGGATGGTGAATTTGCTGCTGGAGTTGATACGGAGCGAAAAATCCCCACCATCATTAGTGCATTTATCCTTCAAGTTTCTCTATAGAATCTGCAAGGTTTGTGAACTTGTCACACAGGTTTTTGGTTCATTTTTGAATTGTTTTAAACACATATCTGTGCTTCTTCGATCAGGTACGTGGCTACAAAGTCTTCATGCATCTGTTTCCTCATGAGGTTGCTGATGTTCAACCAGTTTTGGACCTTCTAACAAGACAAGATCCTGAAGACCTTGAGGTGAAATGGTTGTTGAAAAAACACATTATTGAACTTTTTATTGCACATTTCCTATTGCAGTAATGACTGTGTTTTCTTTAGACCTGGGAAACCCGTTACATGTTGCTGTTGTGGCTCTCGATGACCTGCCTTATACCCTTTGATCTGTTTCGGCTGGATGGGCATCTAGAGCGTGATGGTGGACAAGCCAGAGAGTCTACCATGGATCGTATTCTTGCTATTGCAAAAGTAAATGTTGATTTATTCATATTTTCTCATTAAGTTCATTACTGACTTGAACTGTAATGTTGTGTTTTTAGGCATATCTTGTTGTAAATGATTCTCCTAGACATGCTGCACCGGTACTAGTGTCAAAGTAAGTAAACCCATTACAAAAGAGTTCAACACTTAGCTTGCTTGATCATGAAAATGTTATTTTACTTGGAACATGGAATATACTCTATGGTAGGGGTGGGAACCTAAGGGTACCTCACGATACGATACGATACACAATACAAAGCTCACGATAACGATAATATCACGATAACGATATCACAATAACGATTTTCTCACGATATGACGATTATTGATATATTGGTCAGAAATATACAATATGCCAATTTATGGCATAAATAAAAGAAAAAAATACACTTTATTTCATGATAAATGGAATGGAGATGCGTAATGTAGCAATATATTAAGTATTGATTCCAATTTAAAAACAAGAAAATTGTTTTTTAAAATCGATTTCGATACTTGGCAAATGCATATCGATAATCGAATCGCGGGAGAAAGTTTCGCGATATATCAAAAAATCGAAATATCGTCACACCCCTACTCTATGGTATGGGAATGGACTTGCACATAAATAAATTATTGCTTGTTATTACTCATGGTTATGCCCTATTGCTTGTCATCAGTGTTTAATGTTATTGTGTAATATCTGAAAAAAATAAGTTTATTGGTATATGTTAATAAAATATGTTATCGTTCTATTTTTGTTCCACAACACTTTCTTATTTAAAACAAAATACTGAATTCACACAATGACACAAACATAGAAATTGAGTACCCCAACTTTAATTCCATGTTGTATGTATGCCTGGAGAACTTTATACGGTAGACTTCCACTGACGTTTTTCTAAAATCCAATTTTTCATCTTTTGCTATAGTTGACCACCAGAGGGCAGTGTTATTCTTCAGTCTTTCTCTTGTGTATTTGCCTGATGCTGTTCTTGAACATGACTTTGCAGGTTTATGACACGCCCAGATGTGAAGCAGAAGTGTCTTGGAGGTTTCTTAGATTGGAGCTTTTCCACTCTTTCTCAAGCCAATGATCAGGTTTTGGCTGACATAAGGGTTCTGGATGGAATTCTACAGTCTCTGGTAATAATCACTGAATACCTCAAACACCTTGTTTTCAGTGGCTCTGTTTGAGGGAGTCAAGTGATGTTGTTTGGCACTGCCCCCTAAATCCTGCGAGCAATTTACAAGAGCAGACATGACTTAGATGTTTCACCTGACTCAGTGATGACAGGTGTCCAATGCACCTGTTGCTCTGTGGTGCTCAAAGCAAAACGGTTTATAAATATACAAAAAATAATATTGAAATATTATAATGGTACCATTTGACATGCACAGATTTCCATTAACATTAATAGATAAGCTTAAGAGTGAAAACTAGTAAGTCAGCCTTGGAGAAAGCACTGCATAGGTACTTTTGGTACCTCAGCCTAAAAAGAATGTAATTTTGTGTATTGATTCTGAATGTTGCTCTAGGTTCTGTGATGATGTTTTGTGTATGTTTTATTTCAAAAGAAGTATTGGATTACACTTTTTTTTAGTGACATCAATATTTAAAACCTATTATCAGCTAGCTTTTTAATAAGAACTCTTTTACGTTTGCACTTTTGGTTGTTTTTTAGGCCAAACTCTTTAAGCATGGAAAACGCGATGATCTCCTTCCATATGGTAATCCACCCTTGCCCTGTATAGTTAGTTTTGCTTTAAGTTACTTTGTTGATGTTGTGTTTTATTTGCATTTTGTTCCCAGCTTCTACAGTGCTGCAGTGTCTTGAGAAGAAACACTTGTCTGAAAGCAGCCAAGCCATGCTGCGGAAACTCGAAGTCAAACTAACTCAGCGGCTTGGCCTCACTTTTCTCAAGCCACGTTTGGCTTCTTGGAGGTCCGTTGTTCTATATCAGAGACCAATCATTACATCTGGGTTCTAAGAATTGAATTATACTTAAAGGTGGCAACATTTTTCAGGTATCAGAGAGGGTGCCGTTCTCTTGCTGCAAACCTGTCCATTTCTCAGTCAAATACTGTCCCAGTTGATTCTAATGCTGAGACCCAAGAGCAGGAAGAGGACTATGATATTCCAGAGGAGGTGGAGACTGTGATTGGTGGGTTTGAGTTCTTGGGCTATTTCTTTTAAATTAAAGACAATATTTAAAGTGTGTTTTTTGTTTGCAGAGCATCTTCTTGGAGGATTGAAGGATAAGGAAACGATTGTGCGCTGGTCTGCAGCTAAGGGGTCTTTATCATTTTATATCATAACTTTTGCTTCAGAGCTGCAATTGCTCTGTTATTCACACTATTTCTCATAAATCATATGTAAATAACTGAAGTTTCTTTTCAATCTCTTACTTTATGTTTCAGTATTGGGCGTGTGACTGGGAGGCTTCCCAGAGAGCTGGCAGATGAGGTTGTTGGATCAGTTCTAGACTGTTTCAGGTAAGCTCACCTTTGGTTTATCAAATCTTGCACCCGTTATCTTTTTCATATTGTTTTTTTTTTTTATGGAGACCATAAATATTTACAATACAATATTTGTATTGTATTCCGTCTGTTTGTATGTGACTGAAGCTTTCAGGAAACGGATAATGCTTGGCATGGTGGGTGTTTGGCCCTGGCAGAACTAGGAAGGAGAGGGCTCCTGCTTCCGTCCAGATTGAATGATGGTAGGTATTAACATGAGACAAATGGCTAATGTGCAAGCTTGTTTTATTTGTTCACTGTCAAAATACATTTCCATTGTTAAACACGCTGTAGTGAATTTGATAATAATATAATAAACCCACATTTTCATCTGAACATTAAAATTGTTTATATGTTAAGTATATATATATATAATATATATTTGATAGTAGGTCTCTTCACAACTGTCCTTGTAGCAAATAGCGTGTTATGCCGTGCTCCTCTTTGAATAATTTAACTTCAGTGCTTTACCGTTGGCATTGGCAAATAACTTTTTCATGTGGAGGCTTGTAGAGTTCACAGCAAGAAATGTTTTGTCTTTTGGCAACAGTTTGATAGTTCTATAGTAGTCAGCTGTTAGCAGCAGCGAGACCTTCTCCTCAGTGCTCGTCCTGTGGTTTTTGCTCTCTTTGTCTGCTTGTGGTTATGTTCAATTTTCTCCTTGTTTTTCCGTTTTACTGTCTTTGCTTCAACTGTTGGTGTAATTATTCTCTCTTCACATTCTTTATTTTTTTCTTGAGAATTTTCCAGCGCTGTCAGACCCTTGTTGACCTCATAAGAACAGGTTGCAGAGCTCGCACTCGCCAGCTGACAAAGTGCAAGAGCCGCTGTCTGCCTTTGATCACACATTTCTTCCTCATCCATCTCTAGCATCGTTGGAGGGGGTTCGGAAGTGCTCCAAATAGACTGAATGGCATGAGATGGTCGAATGCTGAGGTTGAGGGGCAACTCTTCCTTGCCTAAATTATCACCACTGGTAACCCCGAGCCTGACTGGTGAATGACTTTCCCTGCTGTTGCTTCTTGTTGAGAGATTGAGTGGTGCAACTTCGCCTCTCTCAATAAGCGCTGAATACTGTTTATCAGCAGATCTGAAAATATTAAAAGGAGTAGTTAGAATCACTTACACCATAAATAACTAGGTATCAGTAAAGTAGCTTACCCCGAGTCCATGTGCTGTCTTTTGAGTTGTAATAGTATTTCAGCAGAGCTCTCTTGTCTTGAGTCAGGACGGCTGGGTTGTGACAGATGAGGGCTGCACTGTGCTCCGTCTGAGTTGGCTTGGACGTTATTTGAATTGCATGGTCTATCAGGAGATCCTGAAGCAGACCAACCCTCTTTTGGACTCAGTCTGGTTGTTTTGTCATGGCTTTGCCCTGGGCTGTTCTCTTCCACTGGTCTATGACTGCCTCTGGCTTGAATGTAGTAGTTGTAGTCTTTAGGGCCAGGATTCGATCTATACATGTCAAGAGTAAGATATCTTGGTCCTATTAAAGGCATGGGAAGCTCATGTGGTCTGTAAATGCTGTAGGGCAGAGGAGAGGGGTGGAGAGAAGAGCCGTATCCATAGGAGAATGGAGGGAAGAGGGTTGTGTAAGATGGGGCAACAGGCTGTGGAACAACAGGCCTCTGGGGATCTATTAACTCTGGTCTAAATGTGTTTGAGTTTTGTTCACTTCTGTGGTGGCTTGGTGCGAGGTAGTATGGTGGAAAGAGGCTCTGGTCTGGGAGAAGATATGGGGGGTACTCAGGAATCATGGGACAGGGGTAAGGTTTTAAAGATACAGGTGGTGGGGTCATAGTACCCCAGGAATAGGTCGGTTGTTGCAAAGTGCTTGCCTTTGGCTCTTCTGACTGCACAACAGAAGCTATCTCTGCTCCTGTTGGTGTGACAGGGGAGAAAGCAGATGTGCGTGGCAGAGGCGTGGGATCATTGCTTTCTCCGTTTTCTGAATTGACAACTGGACTTGTTGCACGCTCTTTGACGTTATTATCCGGACTCTCACACACCACGTCAACCTCCTCAGTGTCATCTGTGTCCTTTTCTTCTTTCTTTTTTCCATCACTAACTAAATCAATGCTTTGTAATTCTGTAGAAAGGTTCTGAGTGTCTTTGGCTTTGTGGCCAACTGCTTTTGCTGTATTTTTGATCTGTTTTGAAGCTGTCCCATTTTTCTGTGAAACAAGGGAGATGGAGTTTTTGCAGAGGTTGTATTTCATGTGGTTGAACAGATGGGACTTCTCATTGCAGGTAAAAGGACATTGGAAGCATTGATATTTGTAAGGTTTTCCTGGTGGTCTGGGGATGTAGTGCGGTCTCTTTGGCTTGCGTTCCTGAGCGGTTTCCATTTTCACCTTGAATAAACAAAAATACTTATTTTATTTCAAACATGCCAATTGCATTGTATTCTGAAACTTAGTTTTGTGACTATCAAGTTTTGATTCATAGAGTTGGTGGACTTGTCCAATGTCTGCTTTGTTTGTCTTATTAGCTGCTCCGGTGCAAAAATCTCTAAGCACTAAAACTGCTACACCTGAGGGCTAATTTATTTACCTACTTATTTGCACTCAGTTGGACGTGGAGCACACAAGTTTAACGGTGCTTCTTGTTATGCAAATATTTAGGTATACGTTTGCTTATACGTATGTTTATAGTTTATAATCACCGCTGATCTTTCTTGTAAAGTCAATGGAGAGATTGATGTAGTCGACAGGTGTAACAAGACTAAGCATTTATCAACATGACGCTGGAGGGCATGCAGAAACTTGCTTTCACTTGCAGCATTACCAAACGCAGCGCTGTTGGCGTGGGAACTCGAAGGCACCTGTTTCCCATGACTACACCTGTGGGATCTACTCATCCTTCTCCATGATGCACCAATAACCAAAACTCTTTCATAGTTTCAGTTAAATACCATCTTTCCACACCTCTACAATGAATGTTATTCTTTAGAACAATTTGCTGCCAGCCATAAGCCCTTGAGGACATCCTTTGAAATGAAACATCACCTGAAGCAGTGAGTTAAGTGAGGTTGGGCTGCTCGGAGGAACCGGCTTGTCGTGCACTGTCGCAAGAAGTTGTCACTCAAGTTTCTGTTCAACTGTAGGAGCATGCTCAGCCACTCCCTAAGGACTCAAATTCATCCTATAGCTTTAACTTTGAGATTAATACATTTTAATTTATAGCAAAACAAACGGATAAGTGTATTATAATATAATAGCATAAGTATTCTCCATGGTCAATCGCCTGCAGCTAAATACTACTTCTACTTCTCGTAAGTGTCTGCTTGATGTAGAGATCTGTATCATATCTATGGTGGGTTTCTTCCACCAGGCGAAGCCGATTCAATGAAAAAAGACAATACCACACTGTCTTAAGGGTTCATGTGTAATACTTATGGTTAATTAACTCCCTGTACCACCATAAACCAATGGGCAACAGGTACATACCACCTCAAATTACAGGTGGAATAATGTAATAATTAGTTCAACAAATTCACATGACCGAAGTGTCCGATAGACAAAGCCTTATGTTGAATAAGGTCTGTTGAATAAACCTCTTATCAAACAAATACATTAAAGTAATTTCCTGTCTTACCTGCTCAGGTGGAAGAGCTGATGTTTGGCACTTGGTCACTGGAAGACCTCCAGACGCCTGTGATGGTTCTGTGTGCCTCGTATTAATAAATGTGCTTTTAGGATGGTTGTTTCATGAAGGTCTTGCTCAGCACCTGCCTGTGATGGTTCGTATGTGTGCTATTAGTGAAGCTAGTTGAGTGGTGACTTCTCCTTTCTGAGGTGTTTGTTCATGGTGGGTGGAGCTTTAACCAAAACAGTAGGGCCCTGAGGCAACAATGATGTATCTGATATTAGTCAAGCCTGGAGCGATGATTTACATGGCGGAGAAAGGACAGAGCCCATTGATTATTATTTCCTCTTTTTATTTCTATGTAAAGCTATAATATACTTTTTACCATGGTGTTGTCAAAAACACAAAATTTCTCCCATTCATAAAATATATATTATTTACAGGTACGTATATAAAATGAATAAACTGGTTGAAAGAACTATAATATTAATTTAAAAAACATATGAGATTTATCCTGCTACAGTAGCAGGTGATTACAAGCCTTCTTTCCCACTGTGTGAGAGGACAAGAAGCAGGCTCTCGCATAAGCATGCTTTGACATGTGACAAGTTTAGATCCAGATGCCACTGTACTGGACTGTTTTTTGTTGTTATTACTATTTTTCTACATAGTAATGAAGGCCTCTGACTGTACAGCATTGTTACTCTTTGATTGCTTTGTCCATGTTTTCAGTTGTGCCACTGATCATCAAGTCTCTAACCTATGAGGAGAAGCGCGGAGCTTGCAGTGTCGGCGCCAATGTGCGAGATGCTGCCTGTTACGTGTGTTGGTCTTTTGCTCGAGCCTACGAACCCAAGGAGCTCACGCCTTTTGTTATGCAGATAGCAAGGTAACTCTTTTATTTTTTATTTTGTTGTTATAAACATTGTCAAAGTTAAATACTTCCACATTGCTTATACATCACTATTTAGTCTGGAGAATGTATCCTAAATATCTGAGGCTAAACATAAAACCCACTAACAAACTTTACCTGCACAGTGCTCTCCACATTATTACTGTTCTGATGGATCATTGTCCACAGCTGCAGGTTCTGTGTGCCGTCTGTTTTCTTCTGTATTCTTCACATGAATAGATTACTTACTTGGTGTCTCCTTTTTCTCAACATTCTGTGCCTTGTTTTTCTCCCAATCTCAATGATTTTCAATGTTGGATTTAAATTATGTTTTGTATCCAACACTATGCTGGGGCTGTCTGTTTTTCCTGATATTCCAGGGTACATACATACAACATCTCCTGAGTGGTGGCTTAGGTTGCACACTGCTGCCTCCTCACCTCTGTGCTGACATTCAAATGGCAACACATGCTTGTTCTTCTCTCTTTTACTTTCTGTACCACGTGTTACCAAGAGTGTAAAGTAGCATTTAATTATGGCAGCTTCCACATGAGACTTGTTCCAATAGAACAGTTTAATCAAAGCTGAAAGCTTTGGAAAAGCGATTTAGATGTAACTGATCTGTGCTACTATGTAAAGGCCATTGTGGTGGTGTTTTTATTTTGTCTATTATTAGACTTAATTCCTATAAAATGACCATGTTTTGTGTCAAATCAATGGGTCAACACTAGAAAGCCTATAGAATTGTATCATTAATCCCACCCTGCACGTTGAGAACCACAGCTCTACAGCCAGTGCCAGTGCTAGTTTGATTTCGTCAGTAGTCTCCTCCTGCTATGAGCATGTTTAGACCTGTGTCTCAACGAGGCCGTGTCAGTTTGTGCCTGTAATAGCATTATCCAGAGTCGCGACAGCACCCGCCCTCTCCCTCTGCAGAACTGCCAGGTTTCGCCTGTTGATGTAGGTTTCGGTCGCCGTTTGGCACTGGTCCTCAGACAAGCTGATTCCTGCTCAATTCGTCACAGTTTGATGACATTTGGAGAAAACTCACTTTTGCAACTGTGGGACTAAGTGACTCCCGGGCACAGAGTTATGCCCAGACTTACACAGTGATATGTTATAATTGCAAGATGCATTCATATAAATCATATTTATCTTGAGGGCGATGAGTTGATGTGAGCTCTGAGTTTGTTTCCAGGGCTTCATTGCAGAATAGTGAATGTTCTGTTAAACCAGTAAATTAAAACAGACTAGCTGCAGGCTTGCTTTCTGTCGTTTATGGCCTGAAAGATCAGTCAACTTGTTCAGACTTATTTACTTGATCCATACTGAATATTGATAACATTTAAAGCCACAATCTCTTTATTTTTCTGTCCGTAGTGCTCTGGTAATCACAGCTGTGTTTGATCGAGAGGTCAACTGTCGCCGGGCTGCGTCTGTGAGTTCATTCCTCATCCACTAATTACTTTTTTATGAGCTGTTTTGACAAAATGGCGACAAATCAACGCTTACGTCCCATTTTGTTTCAGGCTGCCTTCCAGGAGAATGTTGGCCGGCAGGTTTGTAACTGCAGTATGAATAATGGAAACTCTGCGATTTTGGATGACTTTACAACTTTCATTTCTCTTCTTGTTCAAACTACAATCATCACTATTAATATATAGTCATTTCTTTCACTTTTTTTGTATTTGTTCTTTTAACAGGGCACCTTCCCTCATGGCATTGATATATTAACAGCCGCAGACTACTTTGCTGTTGGCAATCTCACCAAATGTTATCTGAACATAAGGTCGGTAACGGGATGTTGATTCTACATAACTGTAAATGAACTGTACATTAGAATGAAATCCTCTCTTTTGCAGTGTTTATGTAGCAAGTTTCCCAGAGTACACAAAGGCGTTGATTGACCATTTGATGGAAGTGAAGATTAATCATTGGGATAGGTAAGAACTTTTTATCCCTACATTTTGTCACTAGCTATAGTAACACAATCTATTATCTTTATCATTTTACTTTTAAATGTAAAAATGCTTTTTTCACAGCGTAATCAGAGACCTTTCCACTAAAGCGCTTCACAATATAACACCACAAGCTCCTGATTATATGGGCTCCACAGGTAAATGTCAGCTGTAGCAGTTCTGGTCCGAGTGAACGGATGAACAGCTATCTAGTTTAAACCTTGTAATATGTATTCATTATTTTTCACTCTGTTATTTTATTACAGTTCTTCCTCAGCTCTTGCCGAAGGCTGTGGGCCTTGATCTCCACAGTCGCCATGGAGCCATCTTGGCCTGTGCAGAAATCACACATGCTCTCTACAAGCTACGCCTTCAAAAAGACCAGTATGCTTATGTTTTAATAAGAATGTAGCATATTACCTTTATACCTGATAGACCACAAGCAATATTTTACACTTTGGTTTTAACAGAGGGACGGTTGACATCATTTCCTCAGAATGTGTCGAAGGCTTGAAAAACATACATCAGAGGGTGAGCAAATTTGATAATAATTTACAAATAAATGTCATTATATAATTGTTTAACTTTTGCTTTGTCATTCTTTCTCTTAGCTACATGACAAAAAGCAATACAGGTATCTATATATATTTTTTCTGTGGGTAAAGTTTTGTTGTTTCAATTTCCTTTATTCGTTGTCAGAGGTTACGGGGGAGAGTTGATGAGGCCGGCAAGTACGTTGGTGGTTTACACGTTTATTCACATGTTTTAAACACATGTTAAAAATATGGTTTGGTTTTGCAGTGTGTCACCTGATTGAAAAGCTTTCCCTTTCCAAAATGCCTTTTAAGGAAGACCCTGTCATTGGTAAACTCTCAAATCTCCCACTGAGCTGTGAACAAACAACATAATGGAAAGATTAAATGTCTTTACTTTCAGGTGGATGGCAGTGGTTAATTGATGACACAATAAAAAGTCTTCACCTTGTGTCCAGTGGAGCATTAGATAACATTATGGTTTGTAATTTTGTTGTTGTATGTTTTAGTTAATAATATTTATGCATGTATCTTTGGTTTTTATATCTTCAGACAGCTGTTGTCTCTGCATTGACTGCATTATGTGAGGAGTACTACCAGACTGACCCAGGCCAAGCGAACACTGAAATGCAAAGTGAGAAAACACAAACTGTCCACAGTTTACTACAACAGTATAATTAATTGAAGGTGTCCGTTTGTGTCCAGATGTTTTGATATGTCAGTACATCGACGGCCTCCAGAACCCACAGATGTTCACACGCTGTGGATCTGCCCTGGCACTTGGTGCTTTGCCCACATTTTTTATCCATGGAAATCTCAAACCGGTGCGTAAAGTTAAGAGGGAACATGCAGCTCTGACAGTAAATCATTGATGGTCTGTTTTATTTCTTATGGTTTTAATGGAACTAAATCTAACCTGTTATGCATTAGATCCTTGAAGGTCTCCAACAGATGTGTGTGAAGAGCCAGGAAGAAGGAAACTTTACTGAAGCAAGGAGAGATGCCATCAAAGCGATTACTCAGTAAGTACAGACATTTAAAGACATATTTATCAATGTAATGATTTATAATATAACATGTTTTATTAAAGATAAATTGAAGATATAAATATACTATATATATATATATATATAAATCACTTTTTTTTTTTTTTAAAGCGATCTTTGCATATTTTTTTTGTATAACCAATACAAGATGATACAATTAAATGCTCTGTCCACTATTACTTTGTCTGGCCAATTTTTAAATTTATTTAAAAAAAATCTGATACAAAGATGATTTGGCAGCATTTTGCAGTAATCTAGGGGGAAAAAAACAGATTTCTAACATGATCCACTTCCTTTGATTTGACCGTCTTGTTACTGAGGGACTGAAGTGTGCAGACTTGTTTATTTTATTACGTTGATTTAGATTAACACTTAGATCTAAAACAAATATATAATGGTAATTGACAATACATTATAATAAACAGATACTTTGAACTTTGAACTGCTCTCCCTAGTGCTGCTGTCTTCAGCCGAAGTGTGCGTATCAATGCATGTGTTTTGCACAATATCCATCCATCCATCCATTTTCTTCCCCTTAATCCATTTCTGGGTCGGGGGGGTGGCAGTCAGAGCTGCACCCAGTCACAGAGCACCAGCCCCTCACTGATCCTCCTGCAGGTGGTGAGTCCACAGGAGCTGAGATCTTTCAGTGGGGGCTTCAGGCAAAGTGGGGTTAAGTGTCTTGCCCAAGGACACAACGACAGCAGTCATCAGTGGGAGTCGTGAAGTAGGTCTTGAGGTGGGCTCGAACCCACGACCTTCAGGCTCAAAGGCCAATGCTCTACCAACTGAGCTACTGTCGCCCCGTTTTGCACAATACTTAGGAAGAAATACTGACTAAAACGTTTATGATGCTACCTTGTTTTTACCAAAGAATATAAGATGCATTTGTTATTTGTCCAGCATTCTCTTTCTTTGTGTGTGCTTCCTGTCGCATGCATGTTCAGAGTATAATAAAACTTCACCGTCATCCTTTACCTGCAATACCCCTTGTTCCTAATGTTACTGTTCCCTAAATAATTCATGAATATATATATACTTTTTTATTTTTTCCAACCAGGGTGTGTGTGAAGGCAGGGGTCCGTACGGATGGATATCCAGATTCTGTTCTTTGCTCTCAAAACCTGTCGGAGGTGTATGAAACGCTGCTGAATTGCATGAACGACTACACCACTGACAGTCGTGGAGACGTGGGCTCCTGGTGGGTGTGTTTTGGTGCATCTCAAATATGAAGGCTGCTCTGTTTGTGTAATGGTGATAAAAAGTGTAATAGATTAAATATACAGAAAAAGAGATTTGCAATAAATAGTTATTTCATAATTCAAATAATATTTAAAAAGCAAGATAAATATGGTTAAAGGTATGTTGAAATATCTACAGTTCATTCAGTATTTACATTTTGAGTTTTTGCAGAAAGGATTCATTGTTATCGACTAGTAAGCCTGAACAATGATTGAGTGATTGGTTTTGCCCGCACCGACAGATAGGGGGGTTTCGCGCTGTATAAACTCCTGCAAGAGGGAAACGCACCCAAACCACTATAGTGATAAAAAGTGTAATAGATTAAATATACAGAAAAAGAGATTTGCTCAGGACTCTGCCACATGGTTTTCGTGGTTGTCTCAATAGTAGCCTTAAGCAAAGCTTACCTGCCCTCCAGGAATGTCACCAGGCTAGTCACTCGTCCCAGCAACATGGGATGGGCACAAATAGTTTTACATTTTATTTTTTTCCCTTTTCAGACGTAATTTTTTGTATTTATATTTTCTCAATTTCCATCGGGACGTTTAAAGATAAATGAACAGCATGTTGCCCCATTGCCCCCCCCTTGGTCCCCGTGCAGGCCGCACAATAAATGACAATCACAAATTTTGTTGTGATTTTCCAGAACTTTGCACATAATGTTTTATAATGGTTTTAAACGCTCATAGACATGTTCTGAGTAGAGTTTTGGGGTGGGACGTTACCAGAATACCCCAGATACAAATGGCGACCTGGGGCCGCAGAGCTCATTTGCTTATGCAGTTGCGGAATACACTGCAGTAAAATGCAAATATAACCTCATGCGGCTCACTACTTATAATTGAAGGGTATATCAAAGGAAAAAAAGAAGAAACCACAAGATTAAATATGTTGTATTATTATTCTCTTTTGTTTATTTACCTTGCACAGGGTGAGAGAGGCAGCAATGACAAGTTTGCGGGATATAACAATATTGGTGTCTGAAAGTGCACCAGAAATCCTCGCCCCAAATTTGTAAGTAGGAAGAAACCATTATATTGCAGGTTTGAGTTGTAACGTGACACTTAAAGATAAATACATTTTCACTTGAATGAATTTTGTAAATAACATTTGTAAATATTTCCATTGGGGGTAGGGTTGGGCGTATGATGTGCTGTTTGGCACAACAGGCTGCAGAGAAGATTGACCGCTACAGAGCCCACGCTGGGAACATCTTCCTTCAGCTCATCCACAGCAAAGATCCTGCAATACCACACATTCCCCACCGGCAGGAGCTGTTGGTCATTTTCCCCTTGTAAGTCCAATTATTTATTTAAAGCTGGGCTACCTAACTTTTTTCCTATAAATAATACCTTTGTCTGTCCCCAACCGAATAGAGATTTGTGAAAGTAAAATGTACACATCAGACCATGAGAGAATCTCTTTTTCTTTCTTACTTGCCCTGCATTTGTGAGAACGAAGGTTCTATTTGAATGTTTCTGTTTGAAAAAGCTGTCATAGGCCTCTTGGCTACCTATTGACTTTTCTTGTGTTTTGTGCATGTTTTTCTGATTTTCAGAGAGGCCATAACCACTCTAAACTGGAACGCCCCATCGCAGGCCTACCAGTACATCACGCAGCTGCTGGGCCTGAGTCACTATCAGTACCACACCCTGCTGGGTCTCACCGTGTCCGTGGGTGGGATCACAGAGTCCACAGTAAGTCATCTGTTGTCATGGAAACGCTGAAAGTGGAGCTTGAGAAAAAGAACATTAAACAACTGTTAAGATTCTTTGGAATTCATAGAAATTCCCTGTGTTTGCAAAAAAGGATTTCAAAATGATGGGGGTAATTTGTTTCAGATGCCTAGTATGAGTCTGGTTTGTGAGTTGATTGGTGGTGGTCAGCGTGCCCAGTGGCACAGATTAGTAGCTTGGCTTCCGTCAATTTCAAAACTAAATTAACACAAAATATAGCACCACACTATATATATTCATAAATAATACTCGGACTCTGAACAGCTTCTAGCTAAACTCCAGCAGGTGCAGTGCATCAGTAATCTGTGCCTAGGAGCTATATGTGTCATGTCAGAGAAGGTAGAATTCTGGAAACAAATGTTGGATTGTAATTACTTTATCAGACAACTATTAGTGCATATTGCATATGGTCCCTTTAAAGTCACACTATAATCATACTATAATCATACAAGTAGATAAATAATTGTGACATTTTTAGAAGCAAAATCAAAAAAATGATAAAGGTAAAAGCAGTGAAATACTCAACTGCTGGTAAAACCTTCTTTGAATGGGCTCCACGTTGGCTGTAAATGCCAAAATGATTTTCTAAGTGATGATGATTCCTTTTTGATATATAGTTATATTTATACACCATAAATTGTGGTTTTCAATGTAATAGAATGACCAACAGATGGCGCTGCCTGATTGGAGTTCAAAACAGCACTTTTTCACTCTTTCAGTTTGACTTTTGAGTTGACATGTATTGTTTTTAGGTTAAACTATTTCTCTTGACCTTGTTTTGTATCAACTCCTAATACTCCAAATGACTAACCTCTCTGTTGTGGCTGATGGAGGTGGCCTGCATAACGTAGGGAAAAATGGACTATTGCCCAAACAGCAAAACCACAAAGATTGGATTGCTGCATTTGACCACATATAAAACTACAGAGCTTTTCAACACCGAATACAAGTTGAAATAAATGATTCAGTCAATCAGAGTCATGTTACATGTTATTGCTGCCTTAGACGTAGATTACGGACAACAGTGATCTGTTTGAACAAGGTTTGGGGCCAGTGCTTACCCTTCTCACTCCACATGCGTTTATTCACACAGCACTGAAAGCCAACGCATTCAATTACATTTCAACTTTTACCTTAATAACCCACCGTTAAGCAACACGGCCCAGTACCACATGGTAAATGTCTCTTTCTGTGCTTTCTGGAACGATTCAACGTTGGATTTATGATGTAGGCCGTTTAAGCAGTGCTTTTAGACTGATGTAGTGAATAAACATGATTCAGAGGGTCATTAAGTAACATTAACTTAAATGGATTTTCCAGTTTATTGCCCTGGTTTAAAAATCATTATACTTTGGGTATGGTCAGATGTTGGAGATGGTTAAGATGTCTTAAGATGCACAATTGTTCACACAGGATATTAGTGAGAAAGGAAAAAGAATTATGCAACTAATCAAACCCTGAATAAACAAATTTTTATTTTAAGCTGGGGTAGTGGTGTTTAAACCACAATTTTATTTACTTTGCAAGGTACTGCCACTAATGCATGAATTTTTGGTCCCTGACTGCTCTTTTTTATGTCTGAGAAAGGCTCAGCCAATCAGTTCTCAACCCGACTCACAAGGCTCTTTTAATAAATGATGCAAAAGATGAAATGTTTTCTAAAAAAATGTGTATTTATTAAATCAAAAGTAAGGTATCTGAGCTTTTAAGGTTGGCAAGAAAACGAAAAAAATGAAAAGAAATATGCAAACTCTGACAATAGAGACAATATGCAATATGTGCGTTGTATATTAAATTAATAACGACATCCTTATAATTGTCCAGGTGCAGCACTCGTCCCAGTCTCTGTTTGCTTTTCTGAAACACATTCAAAATGACTACACTGCTCTCTCACAATTTGGAGATTCTCTTTTGAGTATTTTCAGAGAGAATCTTCGTAATGCCAGGTACTATTGATGCATTGCTATGGATTTGTTTCAAGTAAAGCAATTCATATTTTTTTCCCCCTTTTTCAGAGTATCAATTCCCTTCCTGAAGATGCTAAACCAGATGCTTTCAAACAACTGCTTTGAAATATTCACCACACAAGAGAAGTAGGTGTTTTGCATTTGTTTTGTTTTTTACACCATGGACATTTGTAAGAACAAACTCTTCTCTTTTTCAGTCACCCATTCTGTGTGGAGGTTTTGGCCCTTTGTAAAGAAAGCAAGAAAACTAAGCTTATCCCCAAGTTGCGCGCATGTATCGCAGTGTAAGTCACACGTCGCACTTTGTCGACGGAATATACAATACGATTCAATACTTGGGGTGTCTTCCAGGTTTTGTGGCTTGATCCAGTTCCCAGGTGATGTGAGAAGCAATATCTTAACCCAGCTGCTGATCTTACTCTGCCATACCTTCCCGGCGGTGAGTTTTTTTTGGTACCATGTTGACAGACTCCAGTGCTCGACAAAATGGCCTTTAAATGAATGCTCTGTTGTAAATGCGAGGGTTTGCTTTCTAAAAATGCAGATCAGAAAGGCCACAGCCGCGCAAATGTACGAGATGCTGCTGACCTACGATGAAGTCATTGACGCGGAAATACTGGACGATGTCATGACTTTGCTGAGTGATGCTAACTGGTCAGTAGATTTGAGAACCTTTAGAAGTACAGCATATATATATTTATAGGATTCAACAGCTGGGATTGCTCACCCGGATTGCGAAATAAGAGTACTGATGACAGGTGTTTCTTAAAGTGAAAGTCAATTATTTTTCCAACCGTCCACTTGTTGCTCATACTCGCCTCCGCACCTTCCTGATTGGACAAAATAAATTAAAATACTTGGGACCCCTCGTCAATGGTTTAACTGTTCTCCTCTTCCAAATCTTACTGGTAGTAGTTATGTTACTGGGAGACTAAGAGATCCTTTATTTGTCCCACAGTGGGGAAATTTCAGTGTTGCATCACCGGTTACAGAACAGAAGGAATGAGGAGCACATAGCACAAGATAAATTAACAATAACTCAATACTAAATTAAATTGAATAAAAATCTTTAACTCCAGCCTGAAGAAGAAACGAGTATAAAATGTCTACCATTGGCACTGTTTAATATTTATTATTGTTGAAAGTGACACACAGTGCTCTAGTACAGTGTCCCTTGGTCAATACACATTATTTTATAAGTGAAAAACAATTGATAGTCCTTCAGTTCATATAATACATTTTCAGAATGTAATATATTTCTTGTATAAATATATATAAACTAGCTAGCATCTTGTGAGCACAGGTCGACTCCATTGCCTCAAACTGACATATATGTACAGTAACATGTTCATACATACGCACACTTAGATGTATAAATAAGCCCCAGATCTGTAAACAAGTTGCCATGCTCTCAATAATGAATTTTGGACAATTAAAAACAAGAATTGCAAGATGTTTTTTGCCACATCGCGAACATTCTAAACACGACAAAACAAATCGTTTCATGCACCTTTAATTGTTTGTGTAAAATACAAATGTTTGATTGTAATTTTGTGCCTCAACTCTAGGGAGAGTGATGTTGCAACTGTGCGAAACCACAGGAATCAGATTTGTGATTGGCTGGGACTCCCACGGCCACAAGTGAAAGCAAAGGTACAGTGACTGAATGAACGTGGAAGTGTTTAAGTGTTTAATGTATTATTTATGAGATGCAATGTGTTTTTTTCATTCATAGAGTCCTGACACCTGAAGGTTGTGGAAAAAACAAAAACTGGAACTGAAATTAATATTTGTGCCTGTTGTTTAACATATACGTAGATTAAAACACATTCAAAACTGTTTTAGTTGTTGTAAATCATTTATTAGCCTGTCTCAGCATGTGGAGGTGATGATGACCCTGCAGTGGAGCCAGTCTGGATGGGAAACAGTCATCGAGGGGTTTTATTATTCATATTTTATAATAAATATCAGCATCAATCTTTGTCATATTTTGTATTTTTGGTTTTAGGTTAGCGGCTCACCCACTGTCCAGAACAACAAACAGGTGAAACTGAACTGACCTTGGGGGCAGTGGGTAGTCACTGTTTATTATTGAACTGTTGGAACTAGTTTATATTGAAATCAAACTGGTTCCCATCTAACATAAACCTTTAAAAACACAGCAAGGCTCCACCTGCATGTGTATTTGTGGCTTTGAATCATAGCTTTAGAAATGAAAAGGGATAAACTCTTGAATAACCAGCTCCCAGCCCAATGCGGAAAAAAAAAAAATCTCTTAAAATTACCGTACATCTCTGCTTATTAGACACTATTTGCCAGTACATATTGACATAATACTTTCTGCTTTAAGTGTAAACCTTTACTTTAGGGGGTAAAATGTACTCCGTGTTGGCAGATCCATGTATGTGCTTTTACTTCTTTACCACAACATTCTTTACTTGCACTAAAATCCTTGATGCCCCTCATCATTGATTTAACTATTCAACTCCAGCAAATCTTACTGGCTGTACTTATCCTGAGTGTAGGGACTGTTTCAACTATAATATTGTGCCCCATGGACAGAAACACACATTCTTTTAATAATGAAAAACAATTGAAGTTACTGACATCACATTAAAGAGAAAATAATCATAATTTGTTTATGTTCACAGCATCAAGAAACAATAGTTGCCTTTCCAAGTTTCTTACTATTATTCTGTGTTTATGGACATTTACGTCATGTTCTCTGTCAACATATTACATCTGTTAATAACCATAGGTAATATATGATACAGCAGCACTTGTCTTCTGGTGTTATATAATTTGAAATTAGACAAGCTAAATAAATTACACTGCTATATTGTACGTAAAATGGGGGAAAGCCTATCTTTTTGTAGAGCATAAAATGAATGATAAGGGCATGCGGATGCAATTACATCTCATGCAAGCTAACTCTAAACTTGGTTGAACCGAGCTATCAATGCTTTTATTGTTCATAGAATTTATAACATTGGCTTCTTGGATTATAGGCTGATGTATATTTCTCACTTATGCCTTTTGTTGCTTCCCGTGGGAGCTTCGGAATTCCTGGGTTTTCCAATATTGCTCTAGTCCATAATTCAACTTTAATTAATTCTAGCTTGTTGGGAATACTAGAGTTGTTCTGTGACTGAACGTAGATTGACGGCAAAGCTTTGCGACAGTGCTCAGGGTCGACAGGAATGCTAATAATTTGAAAAGGCTTACAGTCCGTCTGGAGTAACCATAGCGATCCTTCACATACAATGGTGCCTTTTTAAAGTAGTGGGAGAAGTAGTAAGAGCAGGGATTCATTTTGGAAGAAGGGGCGAAGAACTGGAGTCTTGAGCTCCTCTTGGTGCCTTGGGGCAGAGTGACAGAACCCAACAACTACACAGTCACCCAACTTAAATTAAATCCAGAACAATATGCAAATATATCAACATACTCCTTCATAATGTGAAATTTTCCAAACATGATCTGATAAACTCTTTATTGAATCACTGCAGCATAACTTTCATGGCTTAAGATTTCCATTACTGTACATTCTTATTCACGTCATGGGCCATGTCTTCTGGGCTCTCACATGGGACCGTTGACTTTTGTACTTGTGAAAATGGAGCCTGTTGCCCTGGGGCATTGTGTGATTCTAATTTTCCCGATCCCAATGCGTGGCCAGATCGTTGAAGAACATGTAATGAAAATCACGTCCCGCTTTGAAATGAAATAAACGATTGTCATGGAAGCAGAGGAATTGTCCTCACAAGAACGTTTTGTTTTTTCTCGTTTGTGTCCTTAAAGGGTTCATATGAGACAATAGGGAGGGGGATATTATTGAAGAAAGCTGCTTCAATGTAATATTTGCTATTAGATTGTGGAATTCCATGAGTAATTAAACCATAATCCATCTATGCCCCTCTGTCCCACACTTAAATTATTTATATTAGACATAACTCTCTTACAATCTATTTCATCTTGTATAGTTTCAAGTAGTTCCTTGTAGTAGTTTAACATGTATATCTACTGGCTGCTCAAAGACTTTCTTCCAGGTGTTTTCCTGCTGTGCACTGTGTGGCCCTCTATTTTATTTTATGGTTTTATTATCCTATTAGACAGACTAGCAATTATTTGGGTTGCTAATGGCTGCAAAGGTATGTGTGTTGCTCCAAAAATGACCTTTTTAAGCAGGAATTAGGCTTGTTATGTTAAATCTATTCTCTATTATTTTCTTCTAATCTTTCTAGTTTATTAGACACTTTTTTCACTTTTTCAAATTCAACCTCCTTTTATAGAAATACTGTAAACACCAATAACCATCGCCCGCAATCGTTACATTTGTCGGATGTTGAGACGTGGAATAAACAGCATCCTAAGTAAATAACTGAATATAAATCCGCAAAAGTCACTGCATTCTAAAATAACCCCACCGTGTTTATAAATAGCATGTACAATAATTACACGATTGATTTGAAATAGAAGAAACACTGTCATTATGAATATGACAGCTGATGCGGTCTGCTCACAGGAAACCGCTGCCTTTAAAAGTTTCCAAAGAGCCATAATCTCCAGCACACCAGGCATGCGCTGTCGGCCGGGCAAATTACAACCCTGTCTGGAATTATAGTCATTTTGAAACGCTCTGCAACGGATAAGATGGGAATGTGGGTTAATTGCTGCGCATGTGTCCTTTTTATAGACCGCAGGTTAATGGACTGTGGTATTTATACTCAAACACACAGATGCTGGAAGAAGCATTGAGTAATTGGAGAGAAGGTCATTGTTGTGTTACTTGCCTCGAGACAATTCAACTTTGCATCCAAACTTGTCACGGTTGTGGTGGGACTAGTTTGAAAGAGCAGGCACAGCTAACGGGTATCATATCAATAATGAAATGGTCTGTCAATGTTTTTTATAAGGCCAGCCAATGAATCAAAATCTCAATTTTAGTTCTAGCAGATAGAAACATAGGTATTGTTTAAGTCATTTGAACCAAACAAAAAACTGGCACAATACCCTGAAGTTTTTAAAATGAAGGAAAAATAATTCTTATATGTGGTCATTTGATTCTTTAATATGAATTGCAAATAGAATGTATCTTGTTTGCATTTTTCACATATTTTTTTGCTCATTCCTGGTGAGAAATGGCTTGTTTTTCCAAACAACATGTCATGCTTGTTCCAACTTCCATGAACATAAAGACTATATAAGACACCAACAATTTAACGCAATAAAAAGTGATCTATTAAATGCGTATTAGTTTAATGTATACATCTGGTTGTACTATAGTTTAAACCCCTAAAAAACGTGTTTCCGAAATGTGGGGGTGTCTTGTTGAAATGGGTTCATGTTGTAGCCTATTGCTTCTTGATACACTACAGTATATGCACTCTTACAATTAAAAAGTATTGTGAATTGCAAAATTAGCCAGAAAAATCTCATAGATATTTTCACCAAAATGGTCCAGCCCTAGTTTTTGTTCATGACTTCCAAAGATTTATTCTAGATTTCAAACAGCCATTATTGTCACTAGATCTCATTTCTTATGTGATATAGGGAGAGAGTTGTTCGCCTGCCGGTTTGTTTGGGTTAAACATGAGGTGCGCGAGGCCTGCTCAGTGTTACTTGTTGCCGTCTGGAAAATGTCTCGTGTCGAAGGACGGCCTAATATCATCACTTAAAGTTGTCAAGGTCTTCTTAATTAGATAAGATTAAGAGTTTATTTCCACAGTAGTTTAAAATTAGCCTTATAGATAAGTAGCTGTTTCCTCTTCTGTATCCTCTATATTATAATTGTTGACATTTATATAAATATATATTTCTTTCCTCTTGCTTTACCATCCTGAGTAAAGCTTATAAGCATCCAGCAATAATATTTTCCTTCTCGCTTGGTAATAAAACTGTTCAGTAAATACTTATGCAGACGGCTACTCAAACCCTTCAGCACGAGGCTGAGAATCCCATCGCAACTCACTATATGATAGACAGCACATGGTACCAATAGAGTAAGGATGTTCTATGTTTTTCCCTATATATTTAAAACAAAAACTTTTTAATAGACAGTGACAGAGGGAAGATCCCGAAATGTATGTAACTTGTTTCTATTTCTCTCTTTGAAATATTCTATTGACTATTGCACAATCACAATTAGGGTGAATTAGGGTCGATTACTCTTGCTGCAGCAGTCCAATTACAGTACTGACTCTCATGGCTCTTCACAAAAATGCATTATGAACTGCTGCTGCTCCTCCAGAGTAACCACTCATGTCTACGTTTTGAGCTGTGAGTTTTGGAGAGTCTACTGTGTCTTGGTAGATTTGCAGTTGTGCCATACTCTAATCCAATTCCCAGATGACGGATTAAACAGTGTTATTTAATAAATATCCCTGACCTCTTTGATGTGCTTCTTGGACTTTGTGATGCTGTTAAGTGACCAATGACTGTATTTGTAGAATAGAATGCACACAGGTGGCATCTATTTAATGATTTGGGCTATCATATTGTAAGATTGAATAATTTTGCAGTTACTTTGTTGTGGTCTTTCAAATAAAATCTTTCTGTTTGATGTTGTATACATGAAAAAAGTTCTTGTCTTTTATAGTGGCTTTCAAAAGTTGTATTAGTACTTTTGCAAGCCACTGTAAATGACATACTGTGTTAGGCTTACAGTAGCCTGCTCCTAATCATAGCACCATAGAGCACTTGTGAGTAATTGTAAGTACTTGGTGCCTTGTTTGAACCTCCTCATGACTTGGCTTATGCTCTTGTCAGTGATTTAGATGTTTTTACCTCTTGTTTTGTGCCTGGGCCAGGATGAGCTCATGCCACGCTCCAGAACGGTCCAGCTGCTCTGTCTTAGTTCTGCTGCTGTGGTTGTTGGTGACATTTGCCCCTTGCTGCCGCTGTTTGCAGGAAGTGTGTGACTCTGAGACGGGATGACCATAGCTGCCTCCTCCCTCCTGCTGCAGAGTCAGGGCTTCACTGTTCCCCACGGAGAGGCCAGAGTTTGTTCTGGACAGGCGCCAGTGCAGAGGGGTGGGGGTGCACGGCCGGGTCAGCTCTCTGGGGTGGTCCCGCAGTAACGTGTGTGAAGATGTGTATGTGGGATGTGCCATAATGTTAAGCCACTGTTTTGGTTTTTGCACGGTTCTATTAGTTTTGATTTAGTGCTAAGCCTCTGGCCAATCAGATCACGTCTCTTTCTTTTGCTGTATCCTGGGAATAGAGTTGATGGCAAATGTTCAGTCAGATAGTTTTCAAATATTTAGCCAATTCTGATAAATACAGAGTTAGAATTCCTTAAAAAAAAAAAATTCAGTCATTTGAAATGAAGTTTGTTGTAGCGATAATGGTCTTATTTTGTCATGTAACTAATAGCATTTTTTACACAAATACATTGTGCTTTGGTCTGCTATAATATACGTTAATAATAACTAACATGGAGAGCTAAGTATTGTATAAAGTATTGAAAATATGAGTGAATTAAGAATAGTAAGGGCGGGATTCATCTGGGCAGGTAAATGAGAAAACAATAAGTTAGATATATATGTCATCCTTAAGGAGTGCTCCATTGCCTTTGTGAGTGGTGAGGGGCCGTGTTATCACTTATCTCAGCTGGAGATCTCAGTGTAAAGTAAGAGTCGTCCAGAGAGATAGCCCCTGAGGAGGTTGATAGCGCCGCTCTGCTGGTCGATGCTGTGTTATTCAGATTATCCTGTCACTCAATCGTCTCTGGGGCCTAACGCACACAATCTGGTCTCAATCTGTGGCACAAGCGCGGGGCCACGCTTGGGTCAAAACCTGAGCTCCTCCCTCTCCGGTCTGGAGCTGCTTTTGTGGCCACTTCCTCCAACTCTGTACCCACTGCTCTGCATTTGGTTTCCATTATCCAACCCAGAACGAGTTTGTTGATGATTACAAGAAGATGCTTGCTATGTTTTGCCTTTGGATTGACGGCTGTTCTTTTAAGCATAGGCTGATCAAAGGCCAATGAAAACTATTTTTGCAAAATTGAAAACATTTCAGACTAGAAGAACTTTTGTTTTAGAATGATAGACAAAACCAAAATGACTTTAACTTCTTATTTTTGTGTTCTGAAAATATCACTATTAACCAATTTTCTAATAGCTAAAATAATCTGTCAACTGGAAAAGACTTTGTTTGGGGCTGGTGGATCAATTCTAGGCCCAGTTGGATTTAGTTTTTGTGTTTGGCAGCTTAAAACCCAGATCAAAAACACTGATCATTGCTACAATTTCATAAAAAAATATATTCGAGAAGTGCACATAGTCAAACAAAGTTCATCGTAGTTCACTGTAGTTCTATTTGACAGTTTTAGCTCTTGTTTTGTGTTAGCCCAGATTGGCACATAAGCCTCAAGCGAGTGTTCAGTGTCTAGCCAAAAATAACATGCAACACTATAACTTCTAGTAGCTACAGTATATTTCGCCCAAGATGCCCGTGGTATATCCTTCCTGTCTCATTCATCAAGATGTTATAAGAACTGAATGCTGACATAAAAATAACAGTAAATGATTTTCTCCTTTACACAAAAGTCGGATTGATTTTTAGATATGATTGAATGATCTCTTATAGAATAGCAATGTTTGTCTTAGTGAACACACTTTAATTAGGAGGACCACAAGTGCGCTTGTGGGTTGAACATGTGATAAAATGTTGCATATTTTTATTGGGGCCTGAGGATTAACCATGGAGAGCTTTGAACTTGTGACACAGGCCACTGCAGGGCGCATCACACGACTCTCATAATAGATCAACACGAGTTGTGGCTCTTTATGCACTTTTGTCCACATTTACAGAACATAAGTAAGTAATATTTATTTATATAGCGCATTTTACAGACCAAGGTCACCCAAAGCGCTTTACAATGTTCAGAATTCAGATATTGTTCCAATCATTCCACACACGGTGATGACGGAAGCGGGTCACCGAACACACTGGCGCATCAGCCCCAATCAACACCATCCATTCACTCTCTCATTTACATATACCTCTCATACCTATTGTGCATGTTTTTAGAGGTAGGGGAAACCGGAGCACCTGGAGGAAACCAAAGAATTTTTTTTATTACCTATAATCAATTCAGTATGGGTAATACAATGAGTTCTGTCCCAGGTAGCAAGCAGTGTAACAGTAAATAAACTTGGGTAAAATATGTATTATGGATGTTGTTTCGAAGTAATAGAAAGTGTTTTGCTCCATAATTACCTGTGTCACATTTTGGTTTTTTTTTTATCCGGCTCTTTAGAAGTTTATTCCCAAGGACAACTGTACAGATAATCAGTACCATTTCGCTGTTTCGTTGTTCCTATTTTCAAATTAAAATAACAAGTTTATTTGACCAAATGACTTCATGCAACCAATACCATGAGTTTAAAAATATGTTTTTGTGTTATCATTCACAATCTCCAAAATATGGCCAAAAAAGTCAAAAGGGGTGTTTACTTTGAAACTCCACTGTATGTGCATGTCTTACTACCTTCACACAGTAAAACAAGTTGTAATCATTCTGACAAGAGAGAGTGAAATGATCCTACTTACAGCACTTTTATGCCTGAAATCACATCTAATGCATTATGGTTGGATTGCTATAGTAATTATGAATTACTCCCAAAAAAATCCCCCCAGAGCACTTTTTTTTTCTTTGAGGAATAGTAGGTTGTGTTTTGGTGGTGCTGCAGCCTGGCCCTTGTTGTCTTTAGTTTTAGGAGTTCATGGCTCATTAGCTCGTGGCCTCCAGCGGACGGCCGGAGCAGTTACAGCGTGTCGGACGTGTGCGGGTTATTAACATGATAAATATCAGCGTGGCCGGAGCGGTGCCAGCCACTCCAGGAACATGTGTTTTACATAAACCATTCTGGAGACGTTTGGAGAGGCTTCAAGCAGAGAGTAGTCCAGGCACGATCACGATCTTACGCTCATTTAAAATTGAGCTGTTACTATTATTATTCTTTTGAGTGAAAGAGTTTATTTTTTTATATTTTTTCATATGATACTGCAAAAACTGATTAAATAGGAAATGCAAGTAGTTAAAAAAACATAACTCAAGTACATTTTGTCAAACCAAAGATGTTCCCATTTGTGCTTAGTGGTTCAGTTTGGTGAATTTGTGAGACTGTGTGCATGTGTGTGTATTTGAATGTTGGAGCACTGTTTTTAATGGGTTTAAGACTGAGTCTTTATAACTTTTGCATAATTAGTATGTACTAAATGTTGAGGAACGCTCAGCCAGCGACAGGGGTTGAGATTTAGCATTTGCTATAACTTTGCATGTGTTGTATCAATGGCATCTTTTATATGCATATACAGTATGCATTATCCCTGTCAAATAAATTATTTCATAAAAAATTCAATACTTAAAAGAAGATTCCAATGGGACAAGCAACATGTTTTTAACAAAGTACGTTTTTTCTCTTTCCAATTGGCTTGGCTCTTAACAAGATATTTATGATTGTCCTGTTGGTAAATCCTAAATATCTCAAATATGACTCAAATCAAAACACATGTAACCTAATTCAAGCAATATTTTACATCAAGCATTGGCATTAGTGGTACTAAAATTACTGCCATCAGTAATCATCATTCTTATCAATTCAATCAAATGTTAATTCCAAATAAACATTTATGACATTGCGGTGATGTGATGACAGTTGCATTATAGGGTTTTAAAGGGAAGGGTGTACCAGAAATAAATACTACTACATTATTCATGTTTCTTTTGAACCACAGACTGACATGGGTCGGAAAAATCTGCTCCAATCACACAAATTCAGACATCCGCTCATACCGCTTCTTTTCTCTATTTCTGGATCTGGAGCGAGGGGTGTGCAGGGGGTGGGATTAAACTCAAATGTACTTAATCGTTCCCATCCGCTGAGTGGGATGTCGGCTTGCTCCTGCTCCAGGGCTGTTTCCACAAGGCACGTTCTTTATGCACTTTATATGTCTGAACAGACTTAGCTGTACGCTGCCACACACACTGGAGCTTTTGTGAAGATGTCTTTGAAACAAGCAGCTACGTGCGTCACTGAGGGCCAATGTGTTGAGGGCAGGCTAAATCAGGCTTAGAGGAGAAGAGGCTAGATCTGGTTTGATAGGCAAAAGATTGAACCGTATACGGCTGGAGCAATCTACAAAAGTAGCTTTTTGACATGCAATGGCCCATGTCTCAAACAAAATCCAAATTTAAGTTTTTATTTTATTTCACTCTCTGAGCTGCTAAAATCAAAGGGAAGGTATGTGTATGCTCTAATAAAGTCATTACATTTACAAAACAAATGTATTTGTCAAAATCTTCCTGCCTGTGACACATTTAGCTCCTAAGCACAGACTTCTGATGCAACTGTTTATCACATATGCCTTCTGATGTGTGGTGCAGTTAAAAAACAAAAAAACCCCAAATGACTCATTCTTATCTCTGATTTTATAGATTAACACAGCACAAGATACATGAATAATATAACTCTACACTAAAATAAAATAAAATTCAAAACCTCAAATCCCTAACTTTAGCATCAAAATAAGCAGAATATAATCTCTAGCATAATAAGGAAACAAGTCTATAATCTCCAACTTTAGCACAATGAACAAGCAACCCTTACAAAACCCTTGACTTTGGCATAGTCTGCTTGAAAAAGGTAAACATTGCATTTTTAATTAAGAATAACGTATTTGACTCTTTTATTACGGCCTTTTATCTGGGGACACACATAAAAGATGTAGATGTAAGTTAACAAAAATAAAAAATATCACATACTGTCCCTTTTTACTGTTAAAGGCATATGAATTTGTTACCGAACCATACCATAATAACTGAATATAACAAGACTGTCTCTTACAACATGTCTTGCCCACACTTTGAGTTGGTGCTTTGTTAATTCATAGTCCTTAAAACTGCCCCTGTACTTACTCATTCACTGTGATAAATTATCTTCCTAAGAAGATTACTGTTCATCAACGTTTTATCCCTTTGTCAAAGATTCAGTTGTCCTCTGAAGAGTCCCAGTAACTCTATCACGTATCCAAGGTCCCTCTTTTCAGGCAAGTAGATGAAATTGCAGGATGTGGGATTTCCCAAATGATCAGATGATGACTC